TTTATTATTTATTATATAATCATTATGTATTACATTATATATTTATTATATATCCATTATTATTTATTATATAATTGTTTTTCTTCTTTAAAAACATTCTACCATTCGATAATTGTTTTTCTTATTGTTTCTTGTAATGTTCTGTTAAATATACCTGTAGGATTCATCATAATTAACCTATAGAAGTTATTTAGTAAGCTATAACGTATAGTATTAAGAAGCTAAATAATATTAAGAAGTGTTTATGATCAGAATGTTTTTTTTTTAATAATCGTCGTTGAATAGCCGACCCAATTTTTTGGGTTTACGACTATTAGTTGGTTAGTTGAACTCCATTGCCTTGTAATTTTGAACCCAATCCAGAAAGCAAGGGAACTTCTGCAGCAAGTATCTATTATATATAATTCTCTTACGTGGCTCCCAAATTTTGGCTGTATTTCTTTTCCGCCGGTGGCAACGTTTGCTTTGTTTTGAAAACACCAAAGCATTCTGCCTTTTAATGATGTGTTTCTGATCTAATATATATAATTCTCTTACGTGGCTCCCAAATTTTNATAGACAAAAATTACTCATGAACAAGAAATATTTTATTGCTATTATATAATAAAAATTTTAAATGTTGTTATTAAAGTATTTAATCAATTTCATCAATGTCTGGTTATTGCGCAATAAATGAAGATGAGTATATAAAGCTATTTTTTCATTAAGCTTTATATACTCAATGAATAATTGCTAAAAATATCGCTAACTGTATCATTTGCTTATAAAATTTGGTTGTTTTTATATATTTACTATTATGAAATTAGTAATTCTAATTATTTTAATTAATAAATGCGATTTCCGATATATTGATAACACATTATTAGCTTTAATTATATATATTGTAAGCTATTTATCAATTTTTTTTTCTAAAGCATTTACTCTTTATAAAAATCACGATAACAATCTTAGTTTTAGTTTTCTAAAATTAAAATTAACTAATTGGGAAAATATATGTTCATCTGACATAAAAGATAAAAGAAATATTTTCGATTCAAGCAGCTACAAATTTCAAACAACTCATTTGAGCTTGAAAATATACATTTGCTTTTAGGCTGCCATTTACACGTGAGTTTACTTTTCTTAGGGAAATTACTTATTTAGTGCGTCGTCTGTCATTGTTCATATTCATAAAAATCTTTAACAAATCTTTTTATGTTACTAAATTCTCTTGTTTAGTTAATTACTTAAAACGAAACGTGTTCTCACTCACTTTTATTATTCATATCATGCATTTTAGTTCTAAATTTAGAATAAAGAATGTTAGAGTTAACATTTCAAGTTTTTCCCTTTACCAATCGTGATAACCGAAATATATATATATATATATATATATATATCATAACGGTGGATCCACACCGATATTTTTTAGTTATATACAAGTCAAAACAGCATGATTAACGAGTCCAGTTTCGGCATAATCTTTTATTTCACATTGTTCGAGAGATAAAACGCTATTCGAAATATGTAAAAAGTGGAATTAACATTGAGGAGCCCTAACTTTCTATCGTTCTCATGATATATTAATTTGAACTCCATTTCTGTATTGCTGTCATCCCTATGTTTTGAGAGTCAAAAAATCAAATGCAAAAAAAAGGAAAAAAATAGATACGTTCATTTAAATATAGTACGTTTTTGTGCCTAATTTCGTAATTTAAAGCGAAGTTTTTACAAATTAATTAACATATTCAAGGTCTACCCTTTAGAACCATTAAGATAGTATCTCAGAGTGTATGACAATCCGATCATTAGATCAATAGATATTAAGATACTCCTTTCTTCTTTTCTTTGCGCTGTACGTCAAACACACTTCACTTTCAATTTTATTCTTTTCCTTCTTTTCGCAAAAAAAAAAGAAAAAAAAAAGAATTGAATGCATAAAAATAAACAAAATATCAAAACAGGAACGCCATATAAACAGTCTTTTCTTTCCGAAGGCTAAATTCGTATTGTTGTGCTTTCCGATGTAAGCAATAATCTTGAAATTGTTGTTTATTTTGTATTTTGAATTGTTCCGGATTTGAAGCATTACAGTATTTGTCTATTTGATTTCAGTCTGAACAATTAAACTTTGTGTTAAAGAACATTACATTTTATAACATGAAAACATAGAAAACTTTCATAACCAATGAAATCATTTATAAGGTCGATAGGCTACAAATTCCTTAAAATAGAGTTTGTGGCTCGAACAATGTCCTTGCAGTGTTTTAGAAAAAGATAGTACTTTGAAGAAAAAATTACAGTCTAATTTGGTATATATTATATTCTCTACTGGGAGATTCCACACTATCGTATTATACAAAATTTGCATGATGTGAAATGAATTATTGGGACAAATGCATCAGAGTTTTAAATATATGTGTATAAATATGTTAAACATGTAGTTACAAATACGTATATTACTAGCCGAAATCATCTCTGGGGTGAGCATGATTCAATGTAATCGGAATAACAATGAAACTGAAATTTTGGACAAACTAATGGATAAAGTACCTTGACTGCGTAGGATGGTGATTGATTCTAATCGGAGTTAATTACGTTGATTTCATGAAGATTTGAATAAAAAATTTTGTACATGCAAAATTATGAAAATGAAATGGGCTTCTTTGCTTGAACAAAAGATGATATCCGGGTAATTAATTATTACTTTAAATATTTGCTACGCAAATTTAAAAAAGGCAATAGGTGTATTGATATTGCTGAGTGGTTATGCATAGGTGGTACTAAAATTTGAACATTAAATTCCGTGTGGTGATAAAAGGCAAGAACGTTGAAGTGATAAAAATGAATTGAAGAGCAAAGCTATGATTCTAAACTGTATAGGCCATCTTGCTGTAGAGAATTAGGATTTTAAAATACCTAAACTATTTTAAAAATTATTAAACTCTTTTTAAAAATCACCAGGTAGCTGAAATTTTTCCATCTAAAAGAGAATTATCAAAATCAGTGGCTCATTTTAATTTTTTGCAAATTTTTATGAGCCCAGATACAACACTGGAGTAAGTGTTTAAATATTGAAAAATTTAGACCTCAAACGCTTTTCATTTTCTCATAACTGTAGCATCTCACCATATTGACGTTTCGCGCCATTTTCAAAATAAGCAACGAGGGCGCTGGCTAACGATAGGCTAAACTTAAACACATCATTAAACATAACAGTCACAAGTAATTGTTGCGAACTCATAGCAGTTGCGAAAATAGTTTATTTTTAGCTAAAAAGCAACATTTCATGCGACTACTGAGTCGTCTTCGAAAAACAGCTGATGACAAGACTCAATTGCTCTTTAATTTCATCTCCAATAGATTCAGAACATGCATACGTTTTTCGTGATTTCGTCCTGTGTACATGGTTTACAAGCCACCAAATCCATATTTTATTGAAAGTTTTTATCCTTTTTATTCTCTTATGAATTTGTTGATAAAATTCTGAAACATTTCTGTATTTTAAATAGTGCATATTATATGGTGTAAGCAAATAATAAGTAGTAAATAAATGATTATATGATCAGATTTGTAGATTATAATCTCACTGAATCCTGAATTTGTTTCAGCAGATAGCTTGTGAAAAAAAATAAGTATGATTTGTGTAAAAATATAATTGCAAAAATAAGTATTAAAATAAGTAATGTTGATAAAAAAGAATGGTTAATGCAAAATTAATACTTATTTTTATTTATCACATTGCTCGTACTCTTATCTTAAGTTTTTAGGTAAAGAATGTAATAAGTAAGAATCCGCAAACAGGTGTGTAAAGATGAAAATACAATAAAACTTCTTTCAAAGAATATGTTGTAACTGTGAGTTGAAATACTTAAGAAACTTATCTATTTAGCAATAAAACTGTCTCTGGAAAGAATTTTAGGAAGGTACTCTTGTTTTCTTATCTGTTTAATTCTTTCTATTCCGGATATTTGCAAAAATAAATCACGTGAATTTTTGTGTGTTTGCACATTCATTTATTAAACAGTTCGGGAAAATGTGCAAAACATATTTTCACTGAAAATTGTCTTTTAATTGGTTTTTCGGTAGAATTATTTTAATGAGCAAAAATATTAGCTCTTTTTGCAATATTTCTTAATGATTATACATCATTGAAATGTATTGAATTGAATCTTGTTTCTTATTTAGACACATTTAATTAAAAAACGAAATCGTCATGTTTGCATTATGATAAATTGATTCCTTTTCCAATGGAAGTATGATACCGGTTGAGGGTCCTTATTAAGCAATTTTGGTTGAAGATGGGAACTCATTATAATGAGTTAAGTATAGTGCGCAAAAAGGAAAAAAAAACTTTTGTTCTAATAATCGGATTTTTACGTATTTAGGACTCAATTTTAGTTATTTGAATGGATGACCTCACACATGCTAATCAATTAATGCAGACAATATTTTAATATCAGACAAAAAAAGGCACACTTTTTCTGTATAAACATACCTTTTTTTGACTGATTTAGACTTCCGACCTTCGACTCTCAAAATTTAGGTGAGAGCCGCAATCTGGGAAATATGGTCCCCATTTGTTTGGTCAGGAAAGCTGTTCAAGTTTAGACTCCTTAATGCTAATTTTACTTTTCGCAAATTATTTAGTAAATCAAACATTTTGTGTACACAATTATAAAATTCATTTATTTAAACAGAATTGCGTACGAAAAATCATTTTTAGTACTCATTATTCTTTTATTATTTCATTAATTAACATTAATTATTATTTCATATAAAGCTGAATTGTAAGGTGCGCAAATTTTAATTTTTTGCATCATTTAAAAAAAAGTAATTATGTAAGGATAATTCAAAATTTGAATAAAGTCGATACAATAGTTCCTAAGATATCGAGCTTTAAAGAAGTTGTTTATTTCTAATCCAATTTCCTTAAATATCACATTTCATAACTTTAAGAATAATAAGTATTACATTTTCTAAGATTTATATACTTTATAGCATTAAGCATATTCAAACATTTTTAAATAACTTATTATTATTACTTTATAATAGCTTATTAAATAACTTATATTAAACTTATGATGAATAGTTATTCATTATTTTGTTTGAACTCCTTATTTTCAGGTGTCATTTACATGCAGCCAGACTTTATAATAGCTTATTAAATAACTTATATTAAACTTATTATGAATAGTCATTCATTATTTTGTTTAAACTCCTTATTTTCAGGTGTCATTTACATGCAGCCCAGGCTTACCGTGTGATTTAATTCTAACCTCTTTAGCTACAAATGGTATTGGAATGTGCAGAAGTTCTTCTCTTGTGTTGGTATTTTTTTTTTAGATAACTTCTCAGCTTGTAATTTATTAATTATATATATTTTTATTTAATTTTTTGATACAATGATACACCGATAAAAGTTCAAAACTTAACAAACGGGAATAAACTGAAAAATTTAAAATATAGAAAAAAAAGAGACAGGTATATTTGTTTAAAACATAGTATGCATAGTTTATCGCGTAAACTATATTATACGATTTAGTGCTCAAGTTATATAAAATCTTAGTTTTCGTTTACAAACAGTCCACTCAGTAAAAACTTCAGGATCAAATTATGGTAAAAGGTACTGGCACCTAAGGTGTTGGTACTTTTCGACCGCCAAGTCAATTTTGGGGAAACAGGTTACGAAACGAAAAAAAAAGAAAAAAAATCTGATATACCGCACATTGCTTGTAATTTTTTGGAAAAAATTATTAAATTATAATTTATTTAATTGTCCTTTTACCATATTCAAACAAAGCATTCAAATAATCATAAATAAGATGGTAATCAAATTGTTAACTGTGAGATAAACCGTTTATGAATTGCTTTCACTTAATACGGTTTAAAAAAAAACAATAAAAAAAAAACAGAATTTTATCGCACTGACTGGGCCCAACTAATGAAGCCACTTTATTTCTTGTTGCAACTGTATACATATTATAAACGAGAGAGCTAATTTGTTAGGCTCATAACAGATAAAAGTGGGGCTCGAGTCCCAGTGTTGGCAGATCAATATTTCATCCATTCCCTCAACACATGAAGAATTTCCAATGCCCTGCACTCCCCAATTTCTGTCTCATTACCTAATGGAAAGCCTAGCTCCCATACACAGTTAAATGTCTTTTTTGTCTTTTTTTGAAACTATGCTATTTGTAAATGGTTAAAAACCCATACAGTTCTGTATTCTTGGTTTTATAACCATACAGTTTCGTATTCATGGTTTTATAACCATACTAGTTGCAAACGGTTTCAAAACAGTAAAGGTAAAAACGTTTTTATACCGCAAACTTTACGGTTAAGCGGATGGACAGACAGCCGCCGGTTATTTTACCATTGTTTTAGAATGAAAATTCTTACAGTGCAATTTTTTCAGTGATAACTACCGTAATATCCCTGAATCACTCTGCTTAAATAAATATTGCTGTAAACGTTTAACTGTAAATATGGATTTTAGGAATGATGCACTCGAATTTTTTACAATGCAGGCTTGAGATGTGATTTAATTTTAACTTCGTTAGCTACAAATGGTAACGGGCTATGCTACTGCCCGTCCCTTCTGTTGGTATGCTTTGATAACTAATATATTTGCTGACAACTTTCTAAATTTGCATTCTTATTTTGTTTCTCAACTGAATGATTCAATGACGCATAGATAAAATTTAAAAACTTAACAACAATAAACTGAAAAACTTAATAAATTGCCACAAAAAAAGAGATAGATGTGAGGTTTTTTTTTAGTTGTTCAGAAACTGCTCTTCTTTCGTAGTGGCATTTTTTTAATAATTTATTTAACTGCTTACGAGCTTTTTAAATAAGCAAGCATATTTTGATTTTTTATTTCATGATACAATGGTTTAAAATTATTGTTTTAAACACAATTATTGCCATTAATTTGTTTTAGATACTTTGTTATTATATACGTTTCAATAACAATTTCAATTCCTGTGAGTTAAACCACCCTCAAATTAAATGCATTTGATCCAGTTTGTGTGTGCTTGAAAAATCATTAATAAAGTGGTTAGTTTTTAATATTAGTAAAAGTATCATAATATAAGGCGATAACATGAGCAGTAATACATATCAAATAAAGTCACTTTCGTTAACATGAAATTAAAAAATGTTTTTTGCGAAAAGCGAGTCAATTGCTCATCTTTCTTTCAAGTAAAATAGGTTTTATAAAGTAAACATTTCCGCAACACCAAAGCTTCATTTTTAAAATTTGTTTCCCAAGTGTATTAGCCTTTTGTTACTGTTGAACATGAGTTATTTTTTTTCCAAGAGAAATGTAGCTAAACAGGCAATGTATTCTCTCGAAATTCAAAGTTGATTAACTTTAATGCAACAGATCCTCAATTACGTATAAAAAAATTTGTGTTAAACTTAATAATTATTTTTTTTATATGCATTGTTTATTAAGGTACAAAAAATAAAGTAAACATCATGAATTATTACTTTTTTAGTGTTCTGCCATGTACCTATTGGCTGCAAGATGAGGAAAACTCAACAAATAGCTCAAAAGAAGACGAAAGAAAGCTACAATTTATTTGCGATGAAGAAAAGAAAAGGTATTAACAATATCAAAATGTATAAAAATTATAAAATACTTAAGTATTATTCAGTATACATACCTACCAACTTATTATGTCGTTGAAAAAGATTTAACAAAAGGGTAATAAAGCAATAATTAGGTTTGGAAGAATTTTCTAAAAAGAAAACTATTAAGTCGTATATAAGCATAATTAGCCAACAAAGAGATCTTACCTGCATATTTTTTTAAATTATTGATCTGTTGTGGTAGTTTAAAAGATATTTTTTTGAAACTTTAATCTTTAACTTTAATACCCCAAAATGCTAATGTTGACTAAGAAAATTATTTCAGAACTGCGGTAAAGTTGGCAGCTATGAGAATAACATTTCAGGTTGTACTGATCCGACAAGGAAGGTACAAGATTGTACCAGTGGTCAATCCCCTATGTACTAGTGGTCAATCGGGTTGAGTTTATATATATATAGTTAGTTAGTTACTTAGATTTTTAATTTTAGATTGAGAAATAGCGCTATCCTTAACCAAAATCAAACGAAACCATGATCTCTCTCCCCATCTGAAGCAAAAAAAAAAAAAAAACCTGCTTTATTTATTTTGTTTTTTGAACAAAATAACTAACTGCATAAAAAATTCAGTTTTATTTATTTCGGATACCTGCCTTGTAAGTTTGACCCCTGTGTAACGAAATTAATCATATTTTGGAATACAGGAAAATATAAGATTGGAGTGTATTAAAAAAATTAATTTATTCAACCTGACGGGAAACTTTTTTGACAAAAAAGCATAAATTTTAAAATACAGACATCTGCGAAAAAAATCCTGGACAAAATTATTAAAAAATTGCTCAGGATCATGGGGTTGCAAGCGTTATTCCTGAGCTACTATTCCGGAGAGGAGGGTAAATTGTAGGAAATCTACAAAAACAGCAAACAAAACTCAATCCACATCATTTTATTTTTACTGTATTTCATCACATGGTACGCATTTATGACTAATATTATTACTACAGGAGCTGTTCAAAGTTTCAGCCCGACGTCTGTAGAACTGGCGCACCTTGAAATGACGCTCCATTTTAAACATACCATCTCGAACATATACTGATGCCAACAGACATGCCAAAACTTATAAAGATGAGAGGATGAGAAAAGGGTGGAAAGAATTATGGTGTTAACGGAGTTAAATGTATGCTCAAGGTTTCAACAATGTACGGAAATAGATGATTTATCAAATTTTTGATAATCAACATACCTATATTGTTCTTTTAGTTTAAATTTTAAAGCGCGTCCGGTTTGTCCGATGTAGCCAAGACTACACTGGCAAGATATTTCTAGATTTGTTTTCCCCATTTGTCTTCCATTTTAAGTTGATTACCATACATTTTCAGTTTCAAATCACTTCTGTTTTCCTCTTTCACGTTTGGCGAATCTTGAGAATGAATGCCTATTTTTGCAGGCACGAAATATTCGTTTCAAAAAATATGAACATGGTAATAAAAATTGACTTCTTTTGAGGGCTCAAAAATAGGGGCCCATTCTCAAGATTCGTTAGACCTTAATGACTCGTAATGTGAATTTCTTAACCCTTAAAACTTGTCGACTTTTTTTTTCACCATCTTCACAATATTGAAGCCAATGACATAAATTAAAATTTTTCTCGTGCTATTAAAATAAGTTTTACGTAAGATAATGGAATAGACTCTTAGATAGAAGAAAAATAATAATCTGGGCCAACTGTTTAAAAAAATCAAGGTCGCTCAATTGTTTTTACTTTTTACCTTAAAACATTTTTAAAGACGTCAAAAAAATCTGTTTGCAATTGAAGTATTACAAGTGTAAGGATGGAAGGTCTCCTAGCCCCAGGCATCAAAGTTATATAGTTACAAGGACAATTATTTCAGACAAGTCAACGTCTCTGTCCTACTCGAAATTGCTTGAAAATTTATTATTTATTTACCGATTCAAAAATTTATTCTAGATGCATGATTATGTTAGGAAATCAGAAGTATGCTTTTGATATATTTTCAAATCATATATTGTTATTATTATTTTTAATTTTTTTGCATTGCCATTGTATTTATAGCGAAAGTGAATCTTCAACAATTTCGAAGACAAAAAGCGAAGTCAAAAAGGCTTTCAGAAGCTTTAAGGACATGCAACGAAAATTCCTTCAAACAGTAACCGCTAGACTTACAGTTGCCCAGGTAATTAAATATGCTCTTCATTATTACTAGAAATTTTTTTTCTAATAATTTAATATTCTTTTACAGAGTTACAATTACTGAGATGCATGAAACAAATTATAGAATTAACATACAAAGAATAGCATTCACCGAAAAATGAACATCAATAATAGTACATATGCCAACAAAAAAAAATGTCCCAACACGTGCTGTATTCAACTTAACTCAAACTCGCTAATGGTTCTAATGTTATTGCATTTTTTTTTAACAAAGCAGGAAATTTTTTAATTGAATATTGAAGATTTTATTTATCTGTAAGATCTTACTGACTTTTTCTTCCTGTTTATGTTTTTTTTTTTTTTTTTTTTTTTTTTTTTTTAACATAATGCGCATATTTAGTACATACTAAATATATCTAAAAATATTGAAGATGTTTCAAATGTTCATATACATTAATTTATCGAGATTTAATTAAGTTTTTTTGAGTGCCAAAAGTAATAACATCTGTGGTTTATGATAACAGTTTTTTACTCTTTCAATTTGCAAAAGATAGGAGCTAGTTTAGCAAGCTCTAAGGGTCGAATAATATCCGAAAATACAAAAGAACAAATGAAATACGTTGTAAAGAGCATGTAAAAATGCAGCACAGTCGAATTTCTCACAGTACATTAAATACTGATGTTAATTTACTACTTCACTTTTTGTTTATATTATCTATATAAAATACGACCTTAGAACAGTATTTTTGTGATGTAAGAAATTTTTTTTTCTATTCAGTTTTACTTTTCAGCACTGTATTTTTAATTCACGCGCGGGTAATAAGAACTATAGCTTTATAAACCAGTTATCACAGAATCCGTTACCTTAAGAGAGAGAAAAGTAAGTGAATGTTTTAAACTTCGAAAATTTTGAAATTCTTCTCTTTTTATTTTCGCCATCCTGACTTGTCTTTTTTTTGACAGACTTTTTTTCTCAATTCAGTTTCTGATCATACGGAAACTCAGACATGAAGCTAAATTTCTATGTTCCATTAAACAAATACAAATTTCCCATAAGGAGTTTTCTAAAACCTCTTTTTAAATTAATTTTATATTCATTTTGCTGTAACTATTACTTTAATTTCACAAATATTCATACTAAGATATTTATTATCTTTACGTTTCCTGTTGTGAACTATTAAGCAGAGCAGGAAAACAAATGCTCTACCAAATTATATTTTTTTCCCTTGCTAACAACTCCAAAAGGGATTCGCCGATTCCTCAGAAACGGTTTCAGAAGAAGAAAAAGTTTTAAGACCAATGATTTAGATTTTCCGAAGGGATTGTGTAGTGCTCTGAAAGCTGATCTTACAACAGAAAGCAAGGTGCTGATGTTCTTTCATTCTCTGTATTATCTGTCCTTACTGTTGGAGCAACGTTGACCCACCTAATATGGTGCCTTTGAAGAGTGGTCGTTCGTAAATCGGCCATACTGATACCTGAATGACAAGTGTCAATGGAGTGAGCATCGGAAAAAAATGATTTAGATTATAAGTTCCCAATTTATGTACAATCAACTCCCCCTTCCCCGCCATAAGCACTGACGCATTCTTACAAAATTATACCTTCAGTGACAGTAAAATGAATTTTGTTTCCAATAATAAAATCAAACTTAAGACACTCACTAAAACTTTTACAGATGTTTCAGAATCAGTAATTTCAAATATTAAATTTAATTGTTTTATCCATGAGAAGTAGAGAGTTGAAATTGAAGAAAAAAAGTAATAATAATAAGTGATAAACCTGAATTATGAAAATAACAGATTAGGATAACATTTAAAAACAATTAAATGATTTTATTCAAAGATTCATAAATTAGTTGATTAATATTTTCAACACTAAATCGATAATTTTAAAAATAGATAGCGCACTGCCACCTAGTTTAACTATAATGGCTTTATATTTTGCTTCATATCTCTCTCGTTACCTTAATTGCAAATAAATAAATAAAAATAAATGAATAAATAAATTTTGATGTTTTAACTATCCCAAGAAAATTCGAATTGTATTTTTGTAAATTAATTTCCTGTACAAATATTATTTGAAAGAAACATAAGCATAAATAGGCTTGGTTTCAGAAAAATAGGTATAGCAGTGAATATATGTATAAAATGTATAATGTATCCTCCTGACTTTTTTAATGATATATTTATATTTATAGGATCCCCTAACTTTGGCTCAATATTTAGGTAAACAATAATTTTGGTATTTTTGGAGAAAAACTAAAAAAAATTAGATTGAATGTAACTTACTAATTTAGATACAATAACTCATATTTTTATTTCGCTAAGTATGAAACTGTTTGAATATTAAATAAAAGGATAATTATAAAAAGAACTTTTAAAAAGCCTTGCTTTTCATATTGAGTGATTGTTCAAAAATAGATGGGAGCCTATAAATTTTATCAGTAGTTTCTCAACCTTCCCACAACCCACTTGTTGGACATGGTTCAGTGGTTGAAAACTACTGATCTCTGATCTTAATTCTCGCTGATGATTCTATAATTTTTGCATTAATTTTAAAAATGGTTCATAATTGTTTAACACCCTATAAATCTGAATAATTTAATTCCAACAGCTTTGAATAGATTTGCATTAAGCTAGCATGAAATTTACCCACCTAAAATTTTTATCAGGCTGTTAGGCTAAACTTAAAAAAGGAAACAAATTTACTCAATTCGTAATAAAAACATATTTTACTTGACTAAAAAACTACCCAAATTTGCCACATTTATATCTATAAATGGTTTTAGCCACCCCTTTATAAAACTTAATTTTAATAATGATTTCTGTTTCAAATGTTTGCGCTCATGGTTTTTTATATCAAGCATTTTTGTGATTCTCTTTTATGACAAAACTTTAATTAGTTTCATTATAAATCCAATATTTTAAATGCTTTTAGTTGAAATTTTATGGAAATATTCAATAAAATATTATAAATGTAAAATTAACATAATGATAGCAAAAGGTTCTTTCGTTTTTTTATTGTTTTTTTCTCTTAGGTAGTGGATGGTGTTAAGGCGGGTGCTGTACCTAGTTTCGATTATATCATGTTCGTTTTAATAGCTAGGTAAGCCTTATTTCTGTATATTAGATTAATAACAACTACTTTATAATGTAACTTTACTTAACCTATATATAAATTTTTATTAATTTTATGAAGGAAAAAAACTATTTGTGAAGTATAGAAATTAAAAAATCTATTTTCAAAAGTCAATACACTTTTGTTTTTGGTTTGAAAATGTATTATTTTATTTTTAAAATATTAAATATTGTAATGCGTGCAAAACAGCTTTAATTCTATTTGTATTATTAACAGTGGAATGAAATTTACGTTAGACTAAGATTATTAGTATATGAGGTAAAAGTTATTATAGATAACATCATTGAGTTACCTTTGCTAGTTGATATTTCTTGAAATTTTTTAATCAATACATTCGATTTAGCTTTTTCTATAACATCAAATTAAGCCTGAACACATTGATAATATCATCCATTTATAAAACAAAATGAGCAAATGAGCATAAAATAAACTTTTTTAAAAACGCTTGCAAAATTTATGATGACATTTCGTTATAACTACGTATTTATAATAACATTTTATTATAATTACGTACTAATTACATTTTATTATAGCTACGTAACTACGTATCTTATCATAACTACGGATGTAAATTTATAACATTTTATTATAACTATGTACTAATAACATTTTATTATAACTAAGTAACTACTTAATTAATTATAACTATAAGTCTGTATGCTAGACATACAGTAAAAAATATAGTATTTTATTCATCACAAAAGAAAAATATTAGATTTAATTCGTTCATTTAATCTTTTCAGTATGATTGCTGCGCTGGGGCTAATTGAGAACAGTTCAGTTATCATCGTTGCGTCCATGCTCATCTCACCCATCATGGTGAGTACTATACGGTGAGTACCCAATGGCGCACACCACATGTACAATGCATAAATTAATAATATAATGTATAAATAACAAATAAGTAAAAAAAATTTAACACATAACTTCTTGATGAATTAAATATCGAAGTGATCGAAGTAAATATACTGTAAAAAAATAATTTGGCGATTTTTAATTAAAAAAACTATGAGCTCCATATTGATATTCAATGAATACCCAATTGTATATTCCAGAAATATTGGTTATTTTATTTTATAACCGGCATTGAATAGCCGACCCAATTCTGAGTTTGCAACTATCAATGTTCAACTCCGCAACCTTGTAATTTTTAACCCAACCCAGGAAATCCTAAATCAAGCATTGAGACAAACTAACCTTGGAAGACTTTTTGATGGAACTAGCTAGCATTTGCGTTACAAAGAGGGAAAACCCATGAAACCCTTCCAAGATGAGCTCGACGGTAAGGAGACTCAAACTCATGATACATCTAGCACTGACGATGTTTCACATGAGTATTGTGGTCGTTGCTAGCCGGAGCAGAATTCGTAACAGCCAGACACCGCTGGGATCAAACCTGGGTGAATTTTTGGGAGGCGAACACTCTCTCTCTTGAGCTACCTCAGCTCAAATATTAGTTATGTTTCATTTTATAACTGGCGTGGAACAGCTAACCTAATTCTGAGTTTACAACTATCAATGTTCAACTCCCGTATCCCTTTAATTTTGAACCCAACCAAGATGGCAAGGAAGCTCCTAAATTAAGCATTGAGAAAAACTACTCTTTGTGGAAGACTTTTTGATGAAAATAATACGCCTTTACGTTACAAGCAAAGGAAAATCGCGAAAACCTCCAACGGTTAGCCCAACAGTTAGTAGACTCTAAACTCATGATCTGTATACTGCTGGGGATATCTTTTGTTTGCAGTGCGAGTCGGGTGCAGGATTCATATCGAATAGCCATCGATTGGATTCGAACCTTAATTACCTCATTGGGAGACGAGAACCACCTCCTGAGCCACCATGGCTCAAATATTAGTTTAATTTTATTTTATAACTGTTGTTGAACATTCGACCCAATTTTGGTTATGGCGACTAATGTTCAACTCCGTCTCGTAATTTGGACATCATCCAGATGATACGGGAACTCCTGGATCAAGTATTGGTTCAAATTTGCCTTTCTGGAGGACTTTTTGATGGAACAAACTTGCATTTGCGTAACACGGAGAGGAAAAACACTAAAATTTCCCACTGTTAGCCTGAAAGCAAGAGCACTAAATATTAATTATATATTTTTTATTTTATAACAGTCGTTGAACATTTGGCTTCTTCGGGTTTGCGACTACTAATCTTTAACTCCATAGCATTGTAATTTTGAACCTAATCCAGAAGACAAGGGAACTGCTGGATCAAGTATTGGGAGAAATTTGCTTTCGTGGGGGACTTTTTGATGGAGCTAACCAGCCTTTGCGCTACATAGAGGGAAAAAACACTAAAATTTCCCACGGTTAGCCTGAAAGCAAGTGGACTAAATATTAATTACAAGTTAGGGGTAGCTAACTACTATTTAAGAGAAGGAAAAATTTATATGAAAATCTTAAGAATCATTATTAGAATAAACGAAATTGAAAACTTTAAAACCAGTTTGATTTTATAACCGTCGTTGAACAGCCAACTCAATTTTTTCTGTTTACGTCTATTAATGTTCAACTCCGTAGCCTTGCAATTTTGAACCCAATCCAGAAGACAAGGGAACTCCTGGATTAAGTATTGTGTGAAATTTGCCTACGTGAAGGACGTTTTGATTTAACTAAACCGCATTGCGTTACATGGAAAGGAAAACCGCGAAAACCTACACTAAAATTTCGCTTTTTATTTAAACCGATAAAATTGTTTCATTTGAGCAATTTGTTTTGTACAAGCTTTTTGATGCACATTGATTAAGTAAGAGAAATTTTTTTTATTTGTTCCACTTGATTAAGCAATGCAACTAAATTAGAAAGAAGAAAAATATTTAGTTCTATTAGGAATAAAAAGAGTAAAATTAAAGCAATAGTTTAATAGTTTTTGCCAGTAAATGATTAAAGAAATTAATAACTGAAATCATAAATTCACGTGTCTTAAAACGTTAATTTTAAGGCTCTTCAAATTTTGCAAAAATGTGGAAAAACCGCATCAGGATTGTCGCAACTGGCATTATATTCTCTGAATATCCGCATAATTTTATCTTCCTGTAAAATAACTAATTTTAACAAATAAACTTGTTATTATCGTTTCTTTATCATGCTACTTTATTTTCCTTTTAATTCTAAGGATGCATCCAGCAACTTATCTATGACTGTGCCTGGCAAAGAATTCCGTATCAAATTACAGTATAAAGTACCGGCAAAAATAGTTTTTATCGTTCAATCCATTATTACAGTAAATATTATGCATAATTTTTACAGTAATGTTTATTTTATTGCAGTGATTCAGCATTTTTCGGTAATTGTTACTATCAAATTTACGGTAAATCGAATATTTTGTTCAGTAATATTAAACAGTAAACATGTATTTTACGGTTAAAAGTACCGGCAAAATTAATTTCATCCGGAGTATTTTACTGTGAAATTAACTTGTTTTTTTTTTTATCTTAATGTAATCTTTGAGAAAATGCAATTAAAACGAGAATAAAAATGAAAAATGTATATTATTTTTCAAATTAATTTTTTTATTTATTTTTTTTTTTTTAAAAAATCATTCACAATTAGCTGCAGAATTTTAAAAAAATTTCCTATTCCTTTTGAAAAACTGCCGATTCCGAAATTTCCGAATTCATTACTTAAAAAATATTTTTACATAATTTATAGAGCTCTATTTATTTCGTTTAACACAATGCTAAGAGATGTATTTTGCAACTAAAAAATATCGTGATTGAAAGTGTAGTACGTAATATGATTTTTCATGTGTTTAATTGCAGGGTCCTATTCTAGCTGGAACATTCGGAGCAGTAATACGAGACCGAGCTCTTCGGAATCTCGGAATAAAAACAGAAACATTATCATTGTTTCTTTGCGTAATAATAGGTAACTGTTTACATTTTTAACCGAATCATTTTCTTTTTTTTTTCAAGCCTTTTAAAATAAATATGTGGTGAACTGTAGAAGTTATATTTAAATTCATTGGGGGCGTATAAAATAGTGTAAGGCGGAAACATTTTATATTGTGTAATTCCCCTTCTTATACAGAAATGACTAATATTTATTTTTAACATATTCCTTTAAGAAGGGTCAAGTTTTCAATGTTTTTTGTTAGAACATTCAATGTTTTTACTATCTAACCAGTAAAAAACTCTAATACCAGGATTATTGGGACAAACTTTAAGGGGAGGTAGGGTCAACACAATGATTCAGATTTGCTTAGCATCTCATGGTTGGAAACGTCCCCGCTAGGTGGTGTTAGTCAGAAGACCGGTTCCCTGGCCACCATGCTCTCCTGATTTAAGCAACATGGATTGCCTTCTTTGAGGTGCACAGAAAAGTTCTTTGCACGCAACACAAGCGAATTGCGAAATCGATATGGTTACTAGCTGATACGGGTATCTAACAGAATCCAGGTGTATCTGTGCTGGTCCGCCAATCCATAGCCCGCCGATGTAAGGCTCAATGTACTATCAATAGTGGAAACTTTGAACATCTTTTGTGAAATTTTCATCGATCATCTGCAACAGCACACGTAATGTATTTTACCGATAAATGCTTCAGTTGATCTCAGTTACTACTTTCCCATGATCCATCTAACCTTGGGTTGCTACGCAATTCTGAATCATTATGATGCCATTTACCTCTCCTAAAAGTTTGTCATCCCAATAGTCTAGGGACACCCTGTAGAACCACATTTCTATTTCTTGTCAACGTAATTAAATCCACATTTTTGTGATTTGTCTAACATAGGAAATCCACGATTGTTTTAAATTATCACATGAGGCTCCATTTCAATGAAAATTGTTTTTCAATGTTTATAATGTAATTACTCAACTATTAAAATGATCGATACAACAAAAGTACATACGGTATATACGGTAGACTGAGAAAACCAGCGAAATTGTCACAAGGTGGTGTGAATTTCACAGAATTCATAGACTTAGCGGTGGTGCTTTCGTTACCCTGTCAATGTCGGGCAAAGTGGTTCCTATGAAAGGTATAAATAAAAAAGAAAAGATATCTACCGGGTAGCTTTATGTTTCCTACCATTTTATTTATTTATTTCATTTATTATTATTTCTTCCTGCTGCTAATATTATAAAATTAATTCATTTTTAAATAACTGCTTGCAAGCTTATTTCTTTTTAGCAATCTAATTTGTAAACTCAGTAATGTCCATGCTTATATAAACTAATTATGAGTATATTTAAACCATTTTCTTCTGAATCATATACTATAGGTTTTACAATTGGTATAGTATGCCAAGTGTTAAATGGAGTTTGGAACAATAGCAGACAATGGCCTAATCCTGAGATGATAAGTAGGTATGTCACATACTTTTAAACTATTGTGCACTGTAAAAAAAGGATTTCTAAAAACTGAGCAAAAGTGTGTCAAAATAGCTTCGAAACAAATTAGTCAAAATTTGAAAACTTGTATTCAAAATCAAAACTGCACATACTCATTTTTGAGCAAAATGCACAGTCTCAAAAGTTACATGGAAAGAGATGTTCGTTGGCTGCCGGCAAGATTCGAACCAAGGACCTCCGAGCTCGTATTAGGAGGCTCTAACCACTATAATTGTATAACTCAATGACAAATGACAAATCTTAATGACATATAAATTTTTGATTTCAATTGTACAAAGGGTTGCAATTTAGAAAATATGGTCTTAATAGGAAATCGGTAATTTTAATCCCGTATTTTAATTGCTTATTTCTCTATATCTTAAAAATTTTTAAGCGAGTGGAATGTATGTCATGATGTACGGTTTCGGCAGCCTCTATTTAGCCCCGTTTACATGCACAAAAATGCGGGGTAAAAGCTGGAATTTTCGTCATTTTCTACCCTTCTTCCCCTACGCAGGGAAAAATTGAAGGACTGAAAGAAGGGTATAATAATTCCTAGTAGGAGATGGAAATATGCAGGGTAAGCTCACCTCGCTTTCCCGAGATGCATTGCGAGTCACGTGATTGTTTACGTTCTGGGCCCATGTGTTTTGTTTTGGAACTCGGAACGTGAAAATATTTTAATTTGTTTCAAATAATGGCGGGAAAAAAAGAAAAGAAGCCAGCTGATATATTTTCTTACTTCCGATTTATCATGTGACCAATGACGTAGAGGAAGTTGTTTGAAAATCCGGGGTTGAAATTCTTTTGCGTGTAAACGGGTTTTCTTACCGATTATACATTGCCCTGTAAAATCCCTGTACCCTTCTTTTACCCCGGATTAATAGATTGCTCATGTAAACGGGGCCTATAAAACTTTCTAACTCTCTCTGGACTGGAGTGTACAACTATGGTGGTTAGAGCTTTTGAAATTACGCATTTTGCTTAGAAATGAGTATGTGCTGCTTCGATTTTGTAAGTATGGGATTTTTAATTTGACTATTATTTGTTTCGAAGCTAATATGACACATTTTTACGTAGTTTTAAGAAACCCTTCTTTACAGTATACTTTTTAAACGTCTCGATAATTATCCAGAAGAGAATTCATTTTTAATATTTCTTATTTTTTTATGCATAATATCGCTGTATATGCTGCAAAATGTAATTTTTGAAACATTTGCGTTTTACAATTAAGTGAACAACCTGCAGCCCGCAGACTGTTGATGTGCGACCTTCGAAAGATATGAACACAATGATTTTTTTTTAATAAAAATATTATGGAAATTTTGAATCGCACATTCGATTTAGCACTTTTTGATTCTTTTAATTTACACAGATTCTATTGTAAATGTATGTTGTATTTTGATCGCTTTTTCAACGGTTATTGCTATGAAATTCCGCATGGTTTTAAAAAACTCAATATTGTTAATACGATATTTCAATGCGCAAATTCCGAATTTTAGTTATCACTTTTCAACACGTTTTTCCCCCTATTACAAAACTTGTCAATTTTTTTGTTTATTTATTTTTTTAATATTTTTTTCCCCTATAACTATTGATTTCCATATGGTTTCTAAAATCCTGATACATTTATTATGATATTACGACTCGAGAGTTAATTGATCACTCTTTACATGCTTTATTTGTGCCAATTTTACCATAACGTTCATGGGCTGCAATAGTGGCACAACACGACTTTTGGACTAAGAACAGGTGTAAATATGAAAATACACATTCTTTTCAGCAGCAATACTAGCCAACTCATAATTCGACTTGAAGGTAATCTTCGTTTAAGAAAACTGAAGCATTTCTTATGCATTTTCCTTAGGAATGAAAACTTTTAAAACCACTTATCTCAAAACATGATTTTTTGAGTTGTGCCGCTATTGCAGCCCATGAGCGATAAATTTGAATCATTTCGTTTCTTCTTTTGTTAAAGGCAGCTATTGTTAAGCTTTTCCTCCTGATTTTGAAAATCTTGTATTTTAACTATGACATGCGAGTTTCTGATCGAGCATTTAAATAATCACTTTTTAGTACCATTTATTTTCGACTTTGTTGTTTCGACAGTTAGCGCCATGCATTTGCAAAAAGAGCAAAAAAAAAAGCGGACTGAATGTGGGATTTACTTTTGCTGAAAAGAAACTTTTTATTCTCAAAGTAAGAAAACAAAGTCATTTAATTTTTTATTTGAAATACGAAAGTTAAAGTATATTTGTATATTCATTTTTTTTCTGCATTTTGAACAATAAACTAGTTGCTTATCGTAATGTTTAGTGTCAGAAAGATGCTTCTCATTCGAATGTTAAAGTAAAATGATTTTTTTCTCCTTAATCACTATCANCTTTTTATTCTCAAAGTAAAAAAACAAAGTCATTTAATTTTTTATTTGAAATACAAAAGCTAAAGTATATTTGTATGTATATTCATTTTTTTCTGCATTTTGAACAATAAACTAGTTGCTTATCGTAATGTTTAGTGTCAGAAAGATTTTCTCCTTAATCACTATCAGTGTGCAAAAATTGTATGTATTTGTAATGAAATTAATCAATGAAAATTAATAACACATTTAAACACATAAAAAAGTCGTTTTTTTAACTTCAACAAAATATCGCAATTTTACTAATTCACAAATTTAACAAAACTACTCACTCAAACAATTGTAGTTCAAACAAAAATGTTTTTTTTAAAGAATATTATAATTTTACCGAATTAAATATACCGATTTTTTTTAATACTTTGATTAATTTTTCTTTTATCCAACTTTTTGTTTGTACTTTCTTCGTTTCTAGCATGGTTTAAAATGTTATATTTTGACCCGCGAATTAATTATTGCAGGGGACAAGAAAGAGGACTATGGATTGGGGTACTTATTGCTTTACCATCTGGAGCTGGTGTGGCACTATCAGTTTTAGGAGGCAACGCGGGTTCTCTGGTGGGTGTTGCTATATCTGCATCCCTTTTACCTCCTGCTATCAACACGGTAAGACTACTAAAAACGAATTCCTAATTACTGTGTATTTGATAATATTTCGCGCAGAGTGGTGTAAAAATTCTCCCACCTTCCTTCTTCTTAATTACTCGGAAGAACAAAATTCGATTAAATTACCGTACTGTACATGGTAATAATATTCTAATACAAAAAACACAATTCTGGTTAATAAAACCAAAATATACGTCTATTCGTTCGATGCTTTTTACATTAATATGGTAACGGTTTAAATTTCAAATTGAAATTTATATAAATCAAATCGGAGGATCATATGCAATAAATAAATCGCAGCTGTTGTATGTGTTGTAGATATAATTTTAGATTTGTTGTAGAAAAAGGAGTATCAGCGAAGCTACAGGGAGAAAATATTTGGCAGTTTCATTCATTTCATTCATTTCCAAATTAACAATCACGAAAATTGGTGCAATGTTGTACAACAATAGCCATTGACATTTTCTACACTCTTAAAAAGGAGGTAAATTGAACCATACTCCCATTGAAATTGAATCATAACATTACACAATCAAATTTAAGACTGTTGACCTTGGAAGTCATTAATTAAAAATTTATTATTCATTAAAAATTTTGCACAACGATACTGCGCATGCGTTGTGAAGATCGAATATCCTTAGCATTAGAGTTAAGGATACCGAAACGTTTGTGAAACCCACTTTAGTTTCTTGGGATTATTTTATTTTCATAATAATTAATTACTAGCTCAATTAGTTATTACCTCAATTTAACACTATACTAAGGGAAATATCACTGTGAGATATTAAGCTTCAGGGTTTTGCATTTATAAAGCTATCTAGTGAAATACAATGTAGAGTGATACTTGTCAATTTTAAAACACCATTGGTTTTAAAAGTTAGGGTTGAAAAGTCAACTTATTCAGAGCATTCAAGTCAAAGCAGGCACCCGTTACCAGGATCCACCAACATGAGAAAGCAAAGAAAAACGAAAACACGAGTGTTATTAAACCAAAATTTTGCTGTTTTTTTCCCCATTACCGCACAGCTCGGTATTTTTTCCAAAATTTTTCCCTCCTTGTTCCCGCTACAGATAACTTGGTAATTTTGCTTTCAAGAAGATTTTAATAGTTCTTTGATTGAAATGAAAAAAAAATGTTTCTTTTCAGGGTCTGTTATGGGGAATGGCTGCTGTTAGAACTATCAAAGCGCATGATGAAACATCAGAATACGTAAGCACTTAAAATTACTTCAGCCATTTCCTACTTCAGTAAAAATGCATTTGTTATTGTTGTTTGCTCTCGTATGTTATAGTCAATTAAAATTTGCTGATACTTTAAAATTTTTTAATTGTTTTTAAATATAGGTTACGTAATGTACAGTTTCATTAATGATATACATAGAGTTTAATTAAAAACATCATTCTCTTCAAAAATAAACAAAGTGGAAATAACAGTTAACATGCTTCAGCAGTTAACATGTTTTAAGCGTTTAAAAACAGGTACTCATTTTCAAGACTTGTCACACGTGAATGAGAAGAAACAGAAGTGATTTGAAATTCAAAACGTGAAGTTGAAATGGAAGAGTAAAGAGGAGAAATCTTTGTTTCTCACCAAAACAGAGTCAGCAAGCCTAACAGTAAATACAAAAAAAAAAAAAAAAAAAAAAAAAAAAAAAAAAAAAAAAAAAAAAAAAAAAAAAAANCAAAAAAAAAAAAAAAAGAAGAAACAAACAAAGCCTTTGTTTTTCACCTTTATTTTTCTAATTTTCGTTGGTGACATTTCAAATTACTTTTGTTTCTTCTCATTCCGCCTAGCAAGTCTTGAAAATGGGAGCCTGGTTTTTTGAGCTATTGAGACAAGTCGACTGTTATTTCCAATTTTTATAATTTTGAAATGAATAAAGTTTTTTAATAAAGTAAGATCTTACTACTTCAGACTCTTGGGCTTATTTATTTAATAATATTCTTATTTTTCTTTCCTAATTAATTTAAGGCTATAAGCAGAAATGTTCCTCATTCTGATAACAAAAATTTTTAACAAAAAAGAAGCTGCTCTTTCTATGTTCTCAAACTGATACAAGAATTTTTGATATCTTATGATAATAACCAGTTCAAATGCAAAAGAATCAAACAAAACAGAGAATATTTATTTTTTTAAATCTAAATATCAGTTGTATATGAAAACGGCTTATAAATAAATGGATATATATATATATTGATAAATTATCAACATTCATGATTTTTACTCAATAATAATGGAGACATCATTGAAACTAAATTAATGTGAATGAAAAATAGATAAAAAGATAAAAATCATACATATATCGTAAAATAATGATTTTGAAACGAAATTCAGCCACACAAAAAAGTTCCAATGAAAATTTTTTTTATCATATTCGCTAATTTTTTTTGAAAGATTAAAAAGTTATTAGAAACAATTGATAGTAAAAATTTACTTACGTTAGTTTGATTCCACGCTAAATTCATTCACAAGAGAATAGCTATCATTATTGCAAAAAGATTCTTGTGTAAAGAATGATATAAGAACTGAAAGGCAAACGATTTTTTGTCAAAATAAATTTAATTTTATTAACGAAATAATTAAGATTGAAACGATATTTTATATTAATCGAAAGAATTATTTTAGCACGCACTTCAAGAAATACCAGAATTGAAAGTTATAAATAAGCAAGCATTTCGTAAGAAAGTTTCTTTCAATCAGCAAACAATATTTTTATTTAAAAAAAAGTATACTTGCAGAAACTGTGCGAGTTCACAACTAACTGATTCGACATTTGCGTTAAATTTTTCTCTTAAAATCGTCTGAACTTTTTTAACTATGAATGAACTAATGGACGTTAGCGGATTTAAACTAAGTTAAGCAAATCATTCGTATCATCTGTGCATTCAAATAAATTATTCAGTTCAAGAAATGAAAATCACTTCAATAATACAGAGAAAGTTCACACAGCAAAGGCAGGTCATGATATTTATATTTATTAATTGTTTTTTGTTTTTGTTTTTTTGTTCCAAATTTTATTTCTTCTTTAGGTCCGAGTGGAAGGCATACTTCGTCTTATGAAACCGTCTTTAGTACCACCAGAGGATTATGAAACCAATTATTTTATTGAAATGGACAAAGAATGCGCAGTTCTTGGTCTTGTTTCTCTTACTTTAGCTCTAGTTAACATAATTTGCATTTTTCTTGCTGCCCTTGTCGTTCTAAAGGTAAATAAAAGAAAACTAGCTTGTTTGAAATATATTCGAAACTATGATTCAATTTTACTTTTAGTAATAATATATTGTGATAAAGTATTATGAATATGAAATAATGACCATATAAAATATCTATCTAAAAAAATTTATACTCAATACTTAATATAACTGTAATTTAAAACAATTACTGTAATTTAACTGTAATTTAAAACAATTACTGTAATTTAACTGTAATTTAAAACAATATTTCTGCGCCATCTAAGCTATTGACCACGATATTTATAGCTTGGGTAAAAATCAATTTGTTTACCAATAAACAATGATCTCAGTAACGATTTCGAAAATTAGAAATGATAGGGGAAGAGAGTTTTTTGCAATTAATACAATATTTTGACAATGTACTATTTTAATAATGATATATTATTTCATTCTTTATAAATGTTATATTTTAAACGATTTTTAAGACTTCAGGGTCAGGGGCTCACGTTCAAAAACCATGTTTAGAGACGCATCGCAAACATCAACTTTTATTATTTATTTATGAATAAAATTTAGTTTTAAAACATCCAAAAAAATATTTTTTTTGTGCCTTCTTTGTTGCAACTAAATACTCTCATATAAAATGGCAAAATAAAGTATGCAAAATTGTTTTATGGTTTAAAAACGAAAACTTTGAAATACGCAAATACGAAATTCGTAAGTTAAATCAGATAAAAATTTTCAGCTGTATTGAGTGTTAGAAATAGCTGTGTTTTCTAGAAGTTTTTGCTGATAAATTTTTAGAGTCTTAAGGATTGTTTCATTCATCGCCAATCGAAACGGACCTCCGTGCTCAGGACAATATTATAATAATATAACTTAAATCTCATTGAAATAGGCAGAAATATTAAGTATTTATAAGAGAAAACCTATATGTCTGGCTAAAAGTATCCAGACACCCAACTAAAAAAGATGTCATGGAGATCTTTTTCATGGCTTGGCCTGGGTCCCATAGTTCTTGTGGTTGAAAACATTACTCTGAGAGGTATGTAGACATTCTGGAGACAATGTTGCTCTAATTCTATACTCAACAATATTGTTTCAACTCTATGATAATTGTAGTGTATACCACTACAAAAAGTATAAGTTCAATTCACTAGTATATAAGACGTGTTAACTCGACTCTATGGTGGGGTATCTTTTCATAGATGAAGGTTGACATTGTCGATATCTACTCTCCCCACATTGGTGACTCGGACGTGATGTGAACACGCCTACCTTGGCAGAAACGCCCACTACGATTTGTACACGCCTACTTTGATGGATGGGCCACGTGGAACAGTTGACTTTCTACTTGTGACTGCGACATTGTCCTCCTCACGCTGTTGCTTCTCAGTCTCGATCACGCGCAATGTGTACACTCGACTGCTAAAGGTAATACAGGAGCGGCCACGTAACCGTGAACTTAATACAGCTCTCACGATCAGCACACAAAAAAGTACGGTAATCTTAATGCAGCTCTTCCGGATTCTTCCAAAACAGCAATGAATCAACTAGTGGTATTCGCTCATCGAATTCTATCACAAATATAATTCTGGTGGGGGAGTACTGTATTGTATCTACCACTACAAAAATATAAGTTTAATTCACTAGTATATAAGACGTGTTAGCTCGATTGTATGGTGGGGTACCTTTTCATAGATGAAGGTTGACATTGCCAATATCTACTCTCCCCACAATAATATTTAAGGTAGGCCCATTTTTCTTCCAGCAGATAACTGCTCCATTCGCACATAGACACTAGCTAAGCGATGGTTGTTCAAAAACGGTTTTCTCAGAGTCTCAATTAAAATTACATCGAACACTTTTGGGACGAATTCGACAATATGATCTTCCTCACTGCCAGCTGTTACTTTAGCCTTAATGGACACCAGAAAAGTAATTTCCCATGGGCACCTATCAAAAACTGGTGGAATGTCATCACGCGCAGGCTGATTCAAATACTAACTTTTAGAACTAGACGCTTTAAACTAGACCTTTTAATATCCTTTTAATTTTTATTTTCTTGACAGATTAAAGAAGTAGCTCCAAGAACAAGTATAGCAAGAACTTCAAGATTTTGGAAAGAAGACATAAAGGTGATTACATGTTAGTGGCGTAATTGTAATGGTATAAAAGGATATTTTTTATATTTGTGAAACTAAAACTAATTTAGATAAAAGAAAAATGATCCTTTATTGTTGACTTAAATAATTACCATTTTTTCCCCATAGAAAATTCTTTTTTATCTGTTATCTTATAATTTTAAATTCACACTTTTTGACAATTTAAGCTTGATAACCATTGAGATTATAATGGTTTAAGAAATAAATTATGTGAGATTTTTGAAATATTCTTTTTTTCTTAATAGATAGCTCGAGATTACAATACCTCAATGCCAGCATCCGAAGCAGACGAACTTGGAAAACAATTTTTGGCTGAATGGGCGGTAAGAAATTATGAAGAAATATTATTGTAACAGATTAGTTATACATTAGCTAACACATGCTTGAATTTTTGTCTTTAAATTAACTTCGCCAAGACATTTTAGAACTCAAACTTTTTAAGTAACTTTATTTTTTATAACTAAATGTTCTTTTTTATTTAACTATTTATTAAAATAATAATCTTATATAATGTGTGTATAGGGGAGAGCGTTGTACTTTGAATCAATTTTAGCTATTAAAATTTATGCAGAAATTAATCATTTTTTATATTATTACTTTTTATTATTTTATTATTTTTCTTTATTTTACTGATTTTAAAGAAAATTTTAGTAAATGCAATAATTTAGTAAAAAAAAAAAAAACTTTTGATTTGCTATAATACAAAAATAGTTCAACCTATTGTAAATTATCTTGTCAAAGAAAAAAAAACTAATGCATAATTTCAGATTTAGTCAAAATCAATTTTTCAAGTTTCATTTTTTATAGCGTATCCAATGAGCGCTCTAACCATTCACTAAACTGACGAACCGCTGAGTTTTATTTATACAGAGGTTTCTAAGATCGGTGGCTGTGAGTCACAGAGCCCTCTGTTGGAAAAATTTGAAGTTAACGTTTTTATCTGAAAAATTGTATTAGGTGAAAAAGTTAACTAATAAGTTTTCTTCTCTTTTTACCTCTGTCTCATATCATTTTGGTGATAAGACGCCTGCAGTTTTTAAACTAGGTAGCGAAGTGACAGTTTTATCTTATAGTACAGGGTCTTAATAATTAAAGTTCCACTTTGAAATGGCTATAAAAATATAACTACCTGACCAAATGTCATCAAACTTGGTAAATGTCTATAAGAGGTCATGGGATTTTAGTTTCCGCAAAAAAAAAAAAAAGAAAAAAAAAATCGTTCAAAAATTCACCACCAGCCGAGAATGGCGCTGTATGCAATAGTGTTAAACAAATGCGAAATATGCAAATTTGTTTTACACGTCATGTGACTTTGCAGTTATAAAAGTGAGGCGCCTTGTCTGAGCTGTCAGTGTTCTGAGTCGATAATGTCTGTTACCATGCAAGACCGTGCTTTACTCGTGAAATGTTACTATGAATGCGACAGCAATGAACGGAGGGCTTTACAAAAGTTCCGTACTGTAAGAGGAAAACGCCGAGGTCCAATGACACAGCAAGGTCTACGGAAAATGATGGCAAAATTTCAAGCCACAGGTTTGTTATCTGTTGCACCTGTTATTTCTTTTAACCTTATTGCATACAGCGCCATTCACCACTAGTGGTCAATTTTTAAACTTTTTTTTTTTTTTCCAATTTTTGAGACAGGACAGGATCTCACNTTTTTTTTTTTTTTTTTGCGGGAACTAAAATCCCATAACCTTTTATAGACATTTAACAAGTTTGATGACATTTGGTCGGGCAGTTTTATTTTTATAGCCATTCCAAAGTGGAACTTTAATTATAAAGACCCTGTATATAGACACTTAAGTGTTACTAAATACTATTCTTACAAATAAAGCTGCGGTCTTCAGGAAGTTTAAAGAGTGAATACAGACATAAACGGGTATTCTGTATTATAAATAAATGTAAGAGGAATCTGTTCTTTCTTAATTAACTCACGCCTCAATTTTATTATTAAAATGAAGATATTAAATTAATACGTAGAATTTATATTCCAAGTTTAATAAGAGAGCTAACAAAATAAGTTCATAAATAACTATGACCTTAAAGCATTAAACGTTTGATTTCTCATTAAATATTTCTGTTCTAAGGGTCTCCTTCTGACAGATGAGGGATTTCCTTTCATCTATGCAAACTTATATCTCAGATTTTCTCATTTAAGCTACTAAATTAAAATGCCTGAATATTTTTTGTTTCATTTTATTCATTGACGTGTCTTTATTCATTAATTTTATTAAAGTTATCAAAAATTAGGATTTTTCTTTCGATTACTATATTTTCAGTTAATCAATATTGCCGAGATAGCCTGGTTGGTAGAGCGTTGGGCCCATGAGTAAGTGAGTTTGATCCCCTCCGGTCGAAGACTACCCGTGAAGTAAATGGTGACTGGTGCACATTAAATCTGTCGGTTCACGAAGCCCCCCATGTTTCCATAGCAAATCATACTTCAGGAGGTGCTGAATTGGAGATTGATCATTCTCTGGTTCAGTTCAAAATTACGATCTGTGGATGAATGAATGGAGTATGATCGGGTTCCTTTGTAAATATTCTTGGCCATAGACAGCACCACGTAAAAAACAAGAAAGGCACCCTCTGCCTTTCGCTGGGTTTCAAGCAGACTTGATGGTATTAGTAAGTGACACAAGTAACAACAACACAATAACAAGTTAATAAATATTTTTAAAGCTTGTAGTAAAGAAATTAATTTTTAAAAATGGTTGTTGTCTAATATTTTTTGGAAAAGCAGATTTATTGTGTTTTCATCTTGGACATCTTTAACTGTTCATCCTGAACTGCTCGGTAGGTAATTTCGCAGACATATTTGAATGCAGCTCAGACGCATTCTGTGTAAACTCATTCTTTGTGAACACATTCTGTGTTGATGAGTGAACAGACATTGAGCAGTCAATCGAGATCAGTATTAACTTTTTTCGGATTGGTACAATGGTATCTGATGGAGATTGCAAGCGGCATCATACACCCGTTTCGGATTCACAGGCTTTTTTCAATTTTACATGAATAGTGAATGAATAATTTAATATTGCGTGGAAGACAATTTGCGGTCTAGTGCAAGTCATTAGATACCTTGACAATTGATCCTTTTATCCCTAACTGGTGATGAATACTCAGTTCTCGTATTTGCATGAAAGTGGTTCGGTGAGCCACCATTCGCTCATCGGTAGGGTTCAATTCTCTCAACCACTTTGGTTCTTTTGTCAGAGACGGGCTTCATGCTTGTGTTTGTGAACGGAATCCTTTCATTTTCCCGTTTTTATGCAACGCTTAAGGTATTCCCGTCTACGTTCTTTGGTTTTGGCTTTTTCAGTCTCCGTAAGTTTAGGCCTTGGCATCGTTTTTTTCTTGCTTCAACTCTAATTTTTGGGACCATGTTAGTCAGTTTAGATCCTCTTTAATTTGGGATATTCTCCTGAATTAGTATTGAAAACGATCCAGTTTGAGCTGTAGGTTAGAATTTCTGATTCTTAATTAAAACAATAAAGACAAAAATATAGTTCAAATGATGAAATTCTCTTTTATTCGCAACTCAAGAAGTATTTATGAGATCTCTCTGGTCCCATATCTCAAAAATAAACTCATCAACGTTTTTATAGCATAACAAAATTAAAAGTGAAAAAAGAATTCCAAAAACATTATAAAATAGCAGCGGTCACCATAGCAACGACGACGCATGCGCACTGTTTACTATTACTCCTGATTATTGTAGTTGAAAAGTGTAAGGACGCCATGAAATCCAAACCGAGATCCATTTTGCTAATGGGTAAAAAGCTTTAAAAATACTTGCAATTTAAATTTAAAATTGCGTTACTAATTATAATTAAATGCATACCAATGAATAAAATGAAATAAAAAATATTCAAAACTATTAATTAGCTACAGAATAAATAAGGAAATTCTGGGCATATTATTCTTCGTAGATAATTATTTATCTTAGGGTATAATTCTCCTTAGATTTCTTTTATACATATATTCCTGTTTCTGCATGAATGAGGCACTTTAGCATTCACAGGGTAACAATAATAAAACTTAATAATTCTGAAGGAAACTTACTAAAGTCTTATTTCTCCTAAATAAATTAGTTCATCACGTAATAATAGCATAGATATATTTTAGTACTACTCGTGTTTAGATCTACATTTAAAATATTAAAAAGCAATTATACAAAATGGTGATGTCACATTTTGTTTGGAAGTGCACGTAAATGGCGACTTTAATTCATTTCAATTAACTATGCAGAATATTTTTAAAAAAATTGGCATATTTTCTGTAAATAACACATATTTATATTTCGTTTTTGTATTTACTTCAAAAACAGACTCTCAATGGCTTAGAGCCTGATGCTCTTCTGAGTGACGACGCTGAAGCAGCTATGACAAGGATGGAAACTTTAAAAGACATTATGGAGGTTAGTACAGAAATGGATATTAGGAGGGGATAACTCCCCATGCTCATTTTACTCGCCAGGCCCCTTTACTGGTCAGCTCATTTACTCGTCTTTGAATAAAAGAATTTCATAATTGTTCTCACAAATTTTTCAGTTTACTAAGAAAGTCATCGAAATCTGGTGAAATATGCAAAAATTTAAATTAACATTAAAGATTCAACTTTGGATCGCTCTCTTGATCGAACTATTGGGACCATTTTTCCCAGTTTGTGGCCTGATATTTTGAAACTAAGGAATCCAAAAGGGTATGTTTATTCAGACAAGGAGCTTTTTTGTGTCTGATTTTGTAGCTTAAAATATTTAATAGAATTCACTGGTTAATTAGCTTGTTTGTGGTCATCCCTTAAAACATGGAAATTGAATCCTAGTATGTGAAGATCTGATTACTAGATAAAAAAGTTATTCATGGTATTCCTTTTTTTCTAATTTGTGCATCTTACATCAATTGCATTAAAGTCATGGCCATGTCAACCTAATTTTACAATTAAGACAAAGAGAGATGGAAGCACTCGGTAAAACATTCTGCAAGAGTATTTTTGGGTCACATATTGATAATTGCATGCTATCACACAAAAGGATGAAAAGGTTGGCATCTGATCTCCTCTTTAATCTTGTTAGACAAGACGTTGTTAGACGGGGCCAGATCACCTCATCGCCATGAACAAAACCGCCACGGCTTCCACATTTGTTTGCTATTTCATACGATATTATTTTATAGTTGTCATTGAGCAGCCCACCCAATTCTCAGTTTATGACTACCAATATTAACTCCATACCCTTATAATTTTGAACCCAATCCAGAAGACAAGAGAACTCCTGGATCAAGTATTGGGAGAAATTTACCTTAGTGGAGGACTTTTACGCATTTGCGTTACATGAAGAGGCAAATTGCGAAAATCTTCAGGGGTTAGCCTGACACCAAGGGGACTCTAACCCATGATTCTTCTAACTGAGGATATTTTTTGTCATTACTGTGGTTGGTGCGATCCAGTTACGAGATTCGTATTCGCAAGCCATAGCTGAGATTTGAACCCGGGAACCTCATTAAGAGACGAGTGCTCTGTCGCCTGTGCCCCCACGCTTTCTCTATGTATCTCATTTTCCAATCACTCTATAATCTGCGAGGGGATTTTATTTCCCCATGTCACCGTGTGAATATAAATTTCACTGCATCTTCCATTAGATGCAAGCTGTCCAATGCAGATCATGATAGTCACGTTCCGTCATCTTTGCCTACTCTCTCAATGACAGCGGCTCACAAAATGAGCATAGTTTTTTTACTGCTCACAAGCAGCTAGCGCCATCTATAGATTTTATTAAACCCTATTCATTACATTTGGTTTGAAAATTTTTCACTCAGATAAAAATAACCTTAAATATAATTTTCTTCTTGAATTTGATTACTTTTTTGATTAAAAAAATTTATTTTTAACTATATTTTTATTTAAATCTTCGTTTTATTTTTGCAGGATGTTGAAACTGATGAAGTTTTTCAAACCGTTGCTAGATCTGTAAGCACTTCTGCAGATCCTAGAGTAAGTGTTATTGTGAAGTAATTTCAAGATCTGTTAGAACATTACTATAGACTGGCCCAATGTCTTTGGATGAATATGAATCTCGTGATTGTGCAGTTAAACAACTTTATCTTTCAAATTAACATTTAAGCTCTTTCAACATTTAATGTGAAAGAAAATTAACCTTTAATTATCTTTCAAATTAGCATTTTACTTTAAGCTCAGCTTAAAAGATGGTGTATTCAGTTTTTTTTATTTTTATATTATTGTTAACTACGCAGCGACGAAAATCATGGCTTTAGCGCCAAGAGTCGCGAATCATTAAAAATGTATCTGATCTTTAATGTGCCTAGTCATTTATAATAGATACGATTGCACATTTCAACGTGATCTGAACGTCGCATGAAGGTTTTACGATAAAAAAATAAATGCTTAGTCGCGAAAAACATGTTTTTTTTTATAGATAGAAAATTGATGAAAGCTACATGTGCGCCATATTTGACATGCTTAAGTTTATGACTGGCATTTAGTGAATTTCATAATGTAATTTTAAAGTTTATACATTGGCAATCAGAAATAAAAATTATACTTTTTCATTGTTTTGGCATCGTAATCTTTTAATTGGTGGAATCTATAAACCACTAAAAGAATCATGTAAAATGTTCGCATCATTTAGTGTGTTTACCTTAGATTTTTAAATTTACTTTCGAAAGAAAAGCTCTCTAAAGATGCTTCTCGATTATTTTTTTTTTACCAAATTCTTACTAAAACTGAATGTCCAAAGACTAAAAAAGCCAATTTTTCTCAAATTTTACGTACATTGACTAATGAACCTAAATGTAGTTTTCTAATTATTGTTATATGTGCGTTATTTTTGTTATTTTTATCATTTTTACATCACATGTTTAAACTTTCTTGTATTTCAGTTGCATGCCTGTGCATGTTATGCATGTTTATCACTGTTTTCGTTTTTAAAACTGTTACCACTTCGAATTTCACTATTGCCTTGCATGACTGGGTCTATCATATCTTTGTTTATCAGTTTTAAAGTTTGTGTTTCTTTAAACATCAGCTATCGAAGCCATTTACTTCCACGTCGAAACAATCTATACCATCTCATCGAAACATTTTATTTCTAAATGCACATTTTCAGTTATATATTTCAAAGCCCAAATGTTCTTTTTTCAGAAAATCAGTGCTGCACTCTTTATGGTAAGATGATCTTTGAAACAAATTGTAACTTTTAAAAGTTATTACTACAGCTAAGTTTTGCTTATTTTTAAATTTATAATTTTTTACAATAATGGAATTACCAAATAGTAGGTTGCGTATTGTATTACAGTAAATGTAAAGATATAAAATGCAAAGAATTCTACTAAATCGCAAGAAATCTTTTTATTTTCCCAACACTTAAACATAATCTACTTTACATAAAAATCTAAAATTCCTGATAAGAAAAATTTATTTCAGAGTAAACTATAGGATTTTAAAAACTAACTAAAGAACTCGTTGCTTAAAAATTGGACTAACTTGCATTGCTTATTAATAATTACTTTTCTTTATTATATATTTGGTAATTAACTAACTGTGGCTAATTAATCACTCAAAAACAAACAGCGATTAATATTTTGAACTAATATAATAACTTATCAGGAAATAACAATAATTTTAAGTCTATTTTTTCTGATATGACTATTTCCCCCATCTAGTTATTCCTTCTAAGCCTTGTCGTTGTGAAGGAATGGGGTTCGGTCCTCAGTGCCAGCTTGCTGCATACCCAGTTTCAGATCAATATATACCAGCTGATCTAGGAAGTAAAGGCTGCTTGTGCGCAATGCTTATAGCATTTAAACACGGAATAAAAGAGCCTTAACCTCCATGACCCTCTGACTACAATGATCTGTTGCAAAAATGCTTTTTTTTCTTAGTTATCACCTTTATACCTTTAAGTGGCGTAAATTTTTAAAAATAATACTCTCAAAACTAATGTTTCTCTTTTTGACAATTCAGAAATTCTTCTGTAACATTTTGTTATTTTTGAACGATTATTATTTTGACTTCACCAAATCGCGTGATATTTAGTGATGTCACGTGATATTAGATACGTGAATACTTGACGCAACTATTCCTTCATTCAGGTGTAATTACAATAATTCCAGGGAGTTTTCTAACTTTTTTTTATCTGATTTCAAAACCGTTTCCACTATATAACGAGATAGTTCAAAATAGTATGCTCACTCTTCAATCAGATTAACTGGGTTCGTTCCTGGTTTATAAATCAAAATTTTTAGTTCTAGTTGTGTTTCGTAATCAATTGCGTTTCATACAATTAGCCTAATAGTTTTTTCGAAATTTGTACTCTCAATTAAAAGAAAATAGTTATTTTAACAATTGGATGCAATGCCTACACTAGACATTTTTCAGGAAGCTCTTTCATCAATAATTGCATGAATTTCTATTAATTATTTCTTACTGTATATAACAACAAATTTTCCCTTACTAAAGCAAATATATTTTTGAAATTTAAAAACATAAATTTACAATACTTAAAACTGAATAAACCTTTGCTTGACTCCTTTATAAAAGTCTTTTATTTCTATTAATTAAAAGTATTTTTCCCAGATTTTTTCTTCAAAAAATATAGTTTTGTGAGTAACTTGTTTAAAGTATTTTACTTGAATTTAATGATTATAGCTTTTTGATTTTATTAATAAGTTGCAAGAGATATGCGGTCTAATCTTCATAACATTACAAGAATTTCCCTGAAACTATAGTTATAATAGGGTCAAGGGAATCATAATACTGTTTCAATTTGCTGATGCAACTGCGCAATAAATTTGAGTGTTTTTCTGGCCTTTAGATTAAACTGAGTGATAATAAATAAATAAAAAGTGCTTGATTCATATATTAAAATTAAAATGGTCCGTCACATTCTGTTTCATTGGAATAAAGGTTACCAACCTTCTAGTGAATTTTCCGATATATCGATTCCGAATGCATACAAAGCCTCGAAACTTTGGGAAGGGGAACAAGGCTTTTGTCGCCAAAATATCTACTAAGTCGCCAAGATCACCAAAATGGTCGTCACATTTATCTGCGTTCCTTTTTTCAATGACGTTATTTCAATCAAAAATATACACGAAACACGTATACATATTTAAATACACGATATTAAGATTCATCTTAAACAAAACTTAAATTCAATTACACACATTATTGTTTACTATTGAAGCATATTTGAACTATATTTTGATTCATATTTGAATCAATTTTGGAGAGAGTATATTTAAACAATGGAAAATAAACCAAGGGAAATTGTCTTTTTCAGGCATCGAACTTATACATAGCCTGATAAGATAAATGTGGCTTGCTGAAAGATTGCTTTATTTTTATTTATCTGCAATAAATATCTTACAATAATTGTTGGAGATAATTAGGAAAATATAAAATGATACGCTGGATTTCGCGAAGTTTGAAATTTGAGAATTTTTCTAAAAAGTGAATACACTGTTCTAATACCTATTATTTTATCAAATTAGTTTCAAAATTTTAAAAAAAATATTAATGAAAAATAATCTTTATCTATGAAACAGCATTAAAATGTTGCGCATACAATTTTAAATATTAGAGTAAATTGTCAGAAATTTTGTAATATATCGTTATATTGTTTAAATTTGCTACAGCCTAAAAAATATCAAATTGAACCATATTATCCTACAAATTATTCTTTCTTAAATATCAAGAAGCAATTCTAAGGTTCAACAAGAGTAAAAATATCGTACAATTGGACACCTTATTATGGTTTCAGCATCACCGCACCATGTTTCAGTTCACGACACTAATAATATGGTTCAACGTTGAAACAATTATTTTCAAGTGTAGTGTAGCTTAGAATATTTGGTTTGAGAAGCTTCAAATTGTAATCTTTTCTTTACTTTTTTAGCCCATAAGTAAACGAATAAGTGTGATGACTACATCTCCAAACCTCTCTGTCCCAGTCGTGGCAAACGGAGATCAAAGAAGGCGCAGAGGAACATGGGCTCAAACATTACATCCTACTGAGGTATCTAATTTTCATTTTGCAATAGTTCATTAAAAGCTGTTGTTTCATATCATGGTTGCTATTTTTTTAAAAAATATTAATAGCTTTTTACTCCATATTTTAATCATTGCTCTATCAATAATTCCGAATAAAGGTAAAACCTTTATTCGGTTAAGATTATCAGTAAACCCTCTACTACTTTTTCTTCCACCACTAGTTCATTCCCGTATTTGAAGCGGCAGTTAATAATCACCTGAATTCCACATAATCCGTGGTTATTTTTATCACTTAAGTACCGTCCTCCCGCGGATAATGAGAAAAGATAAACATCCATTTTAAGTGCATAAACAGTTGATCATTTGAATTGCGGAATCAGTCAAATTAATTAGTTTATTTTCCACCATTTCTCTTTTCACCTCTAGTTAATTATAGTATTTGTTGCCATCGTTATTAGAATTCCATGTAATCTGTGGTTATTTTTAATCTATTTTAGAAGCTGAATTGCATGTAAAAGTAAGACTCGTTTTAAGAGTGTAAACATATTAACTGATTTGATGAATTGCGGATGCAGATGAGTTGATCAGTTAATTTTCTACCATTTTTCCTTTCATCCATAGTTCGTTTTTGTATTTAAAATAGCCATTATTACTCACTAGAATTCTGTATAATCAGTGATTATTTTTGCTATATAAGTACCGTCCTCCTACGGATAGAGAGAAAAGATAAACATCCATTTTAGGTGCATAAACAGTTGATCATTTGAATTGCGGAATCAGTCAAATTAATTAGTTCATTTTCCACCCTTTTTCTCTTTTCACCTCTAGTTAATTTTTGCATTTGTTGCCATCGCTATTAGTCGACTGATTCTTTGTAATCTGTGGTCATTTATAATATATTTTAGATGTCAAATTGCAAGTAAAAGTTAAGGCTCGTTTTAAGGTTTCAAACAGATTTACTGATTAGCGGAATTGCAGAAGTAGATAAGTTGATTAGTTAATTTTCCACCATTCTTCTTTTTACCCATAGTTCACTTCTGCGTTTGAAGTAACCATTATTATTCACCAGAATTCCCTGCAATCCGTGGTTATTTTTGCCATTTTTTGCTTCAAAATTACAAGGCAACTCCGTAGCCTTGTAATTTTGAACACAATCCAGAAGACAAGGGAACTCCTGAGTCATGTATGGGGAGAAATTTGTCTTCGTGGAGGACTTTTTGATGGAACTAACTCGCATTGGCATTACATGGTGACGAAAGCCTCCCTCGGTTTGGCTTACGGCAAGGGGACTCTAACCCATGATCTCAATATATACTGCAATATATTCAGACGACATGAAAGAGTGGTGTTTCGTATTCTACCAAAAGAGCTATTTGAAAAGAGTTATTGTGGCTCATTACTTCATATTGCCTAAGCATTTTCAATTATATTCTGAAGAGTTTTGAAGCCTTTTTTGAAGTCAAACTATATCTTCAATTTCCATTGCAGAAAATATTTCAATTCCCATTGCATTTGATTTTATATTTTAAAATCTAATCGAAAGAAATTCTGAAAATTCTAAAATATTATTTAATTTTATTACGTTTTCAGGACAAACCAGAAGACAAATTAAAGCTTGATCCAGAACTGCAGGATGTGGAACTGAGGCGGCCAAAAACCCTCTCAGTAAGTCCACGCGTACAAAGACCATCCTCCTCAAGAAACAGTGTGGCTGTTCTTCGCCAGTCTTTAATGAATACTAACAATCCTTACACTCTTTGGCCTGCACAAAAACCACGATTTGTCGTTACACCTGTACCCGAAGAACCTGCTGCTCTTTCTACTCCAAGTTCACCGACACGAAGACGAATCAGCAGGTTCTTGCAAGACCCATGCGTTATTCTAAAAGAGACTACTTGTTGAGAGAATCGGAACTAGAAAAAGGTTAAACCCTCTAAATATTGAAGTTTAGAATGTGTTGAACAAGTGATTTAGTGAAATATATGCATGATTACTTCATTACCCATTTTACCATAAGAGATAAATGTGAATCATTCGAGCTGGAATATGATGGACATCATAATGTGTATTGTCTTTCAATAGTCACTAATCACGGTTGACATTTTTAAACATTTTAAATTAGAACTATTATCAATAAAATGAATATGTATGCCTAAATAGGCTTTTTTTTGTTAAATCAATCATTTTGCAAGTAATTATCTTGCTATATTATTGGGTTAATTAAAGAGTTTAATAGAAGAATCTTCTAATTGGCCTTCTTGATGTGTCAAGTGAAGAACTTAGTAGATGAAGGTTCTAAGTGATTCTTCAATGAACACAATAATACCTATTGTGTTAATTAAAGAGTTTAGTAGAAGAAGATTATAAGTGATTCTTTAATTAACACAGTAATACTTATTGCGTTAATTAAATAAGTTATAAGTTACAAATGTTATATAGTTATAAAAGAGGGTTATAAATGACATCTCGGGATGGGGGATTTTATTTTGAGTACACAACATTAATTTATTTAGAAATTTTTTTTTTACTCCGCACATAACAGTACAAGATGGTAATAAGTGACATTCTATGAATGTTTTCGGAATCGAATAAGGATTCCATCTGAATAAGTGATTGACGAGTAGCCTTTGAAAACCTCTCTTTTGAAGGCAAATTAAGACGCTAAGACTGCAAACTTTGCCACCAATCTTTTTAGTGAGGGTCACAGATTTCAATAATTTGGAATTGATTGCGGACAAGAAATAAGGGCCAGACATAATCAACACATAAAGCTAATTTACTCAAATACTATGAAATGTCACTAAGAGATTTCCTCCTCCAGTTCTTCAATTAAACCTTTAAGACTCTCTTTTACCATCAAATTAAGGTGTAATTTAGTGTTTGAATAAAATTAAATAATTATAATTAAAATCCGCAACCTTCTATATTAGGAAATATGACAACAACCTAAAAACATTTACTTTTATTTTGCTATAAAAAACCGCAGTAAATGTTAATTACTTCAGAAATAGTTAAGATTACGATTATCTTAACAAATTAATTAATTTTTTTGTTTAATAATATGAAACTATTGTTTTGAAATATAAAAAACTACTCTGGAATATTAATAATAAGGTCTTTAGTTGTTTTATGCATATGTGGTCAAACTTTAATTAAAAGGAGATTTTGAACTTTTACGTTAGCTTCCGTATTACGTAAGATTTGAAGGAACTGCGCGTGCTCGCGTTCAGTTTAGATGGTACGTCTCTTTACGTTATGTGAGCGTGATTAATGCTACGAAGACAAAGCTACAAGTAAGCTGTTTATAGCTGTTAAAATTTGTGTTCCGCTTAAATCCACCTTCGAACATAAAACTTAGACATTTAAGCAGTTTTTATTTTCAGTGCTACAACGCTAGTTTATAATTCGATTAAAAATTTGAGCACTTCAAAATAAAAAGAAGCCTTAATTACCTTGTTCTGTCCGTCTCTTCCTTATTTTTTTCGACTTTATTTGTAAACAAAGATTTTTAAAGTGTATATTCAGAACGGAGATTATATAACACCGGGAGGTTTTACGCTTCAAAATTACTGGATACATCACATCCCAAATTACACTGACTGAATTACTCCATAAATTTGCTGCAAGAATTTTGTTTTTTAGCTGTTTTCCTGATATAATTTTTGAAAACTTTCTATTTCCTTAAGGACATCCTATATGTTTGAAGCTTGTTGGATGCATAATAATTTAATTAGAATGTTAAAGGTGCATTTTTATTGATTTGTTTTTCGTTTTTTCATTTGTATTGAAACTGTATGATTATGAATGTTATTTCGTGATGTAACTTTAAATTTCATTATTTTCTATTCAAGAATACATTGTTTTCATATTTTGTGCATTTTAAATAAAAGTTTTGTTATTTTTCCCGTTAATTTTGTTATTCATACATCAATGCATGCTAAAAAACGAATACAATCCTAAAACTTTGTATTGTAACATATTAAATTACTCTAAAGACTACTATATTTTAATAGACACAATTGCGTCCAATTTTAAAGCTAAGTTTAAAAATTGCTGGAACTCTCTTAAAATTACTGGTGCTGCTAGTCAAGCTCCAGCTGGTCAAGCTAGCTGGTGCCCACATCAAAAAGAAAGGCTCCATCGAAAAAAAGTTATACAGCCACCATTTTGTTTTGCATCGCTTTTGTTTTGTACTGCTTCTATATTTCCCTAAATGCATACTTACGGCTGTTTTTCTCCAGAAAATCGATTTATTCTATAGTCATTCTGATAATAATTCCTTCTGATAAGAATTAGCGTAATTCATTCTGATAAGAATTAGCGTAATTCATTCTGATAAGAATTAGAGTAATTCATTCTGATAAGAATTAGCGTAATGGTTTCTTTCAATAGCCAATTACGAATATTGCCAACTATTCAAAATAGGGCCAGAGTGACTGAGAAGATAGAGTGTTCGATTCCCACTGAGGTAAATCGATTTAAGCGATAACTGGTTCGATTCGAATGCTGCTCCCGATTCACACAGACCACAATGCAGATGGAAAATATCCCTAGTGGCTAAAGGATCATTGGTTAAAATTCTCTTGCGGTTGTGTTAACCATGGGAGTTTTTACTCTCCATGCAACATGAATGCCTCCACGAAAATGAGTGTGTTCTAAAGTTTGATCTTTGTCTTTTGAGTTGAAATCAAAATTACAAGACTGCGTGGTTAAGCTTTAATACCCTAATCCTAATTCAATCTAATCTAGGTCTTCTGTTCAACGCCGGTAATAAAGTAAAACAGCTCAAAAAATTCCACCTTAACATAAAACATTATTTAGAGCATATTAAGAAGAAATAAATTTAATGTGTACTGAGCTTTGATTACGAAACAAAGAATTACTTTCAACCAAGTTTCACAATTAGTTATACAGTTCGTTAACAGATGGTGGTGTTACTGGGAAAAATTTAGAAACAGTGTTTACAAAATAACCACAACTTTGAACGACAACGTGGTGCTTTGTGCGTACAAAATTTACAACTGTCCGTTCAAATAATTCAGTCTGACTTGACATTTGGCAGAAAGCTCTATTTTATAGTTTTTTCCCGCTAACAGCGCCATCTGTGGGCTAACTTTATTGCTTACTTTGAAACTTCATAAAAATAAAAATGCGTTAGATACCTAATCAGAGCATAGTAAATCATACATTTATATATCCTTCCGCTTTTCCAATGTTGATTTTTCAAGTTGATCTCTACACTCGATATTATCTCTTGCTTAATTACTTATTCTTTTTCGTGCTCCATGTTTTACAAAAATAAATACTTAGATTTTATAGAGAGATAAACTAAACATAATATTTAGCATAAACTTTATTTCTTGTTTATTACAGAATACCCAATAAATAAACATAATTGGGAAATTGCACGGTAATTACATAAAAGACTAACGCAACAACAATGCATACAAAATAGAGAATGATTTGAATTACATGATGAACATGGATATGCGCATAATATCACAAATGATAATTACTAACAATGTGAGTTAAGTAACAATGAAATCTACCGATGTTAATTTTTACTGAAAAAAAAATTTCGTAGATATCATAGAAACACAGAAACAGAATATTAAGACACTAAAATGAAAAAAATGAACCTTTATAAATTAGCTTGTATATTTAGGTTATATAGAATAGACTAGAGAATTTATTTAAGCTGATTATAATAAACTATCAGTGGCAGTTTACTATTGATAAATAACAAGTTTTCTGAGTGAATTTTTCAAAGTTGCACCGCGGAACAAAGTGTAATAATTTAATACAGCACTATTTATAAATATTCATTTTTATTGCATACCATGAAATTAGTTCAAAATAATACCATATAACGGGATAAAAGTAAACAGTTGAAAAAATAATTCTTAGATAAATAGTTACAGAAAAATGAAGCAAGATATTTTCAAAAAAATTATTTTAAACGCATGATTAGCGTTTTTTTTCTACTTAATATACTTTTTTTTCTATATAAAAATATTATTAATAAATTACTAATTAATTAATATTTTTTTAATTATAACGTATATGGCCTAATATTTCCATGTCAATGTTTTAAACAAGTATTATTTTTAATGGGAATATAGTACATGTAGTTTCTATGTATAAGATAAATTTAAACATTAACATTTTGCAATTNTAATTAATATTTTTTTTAATTATACCGTATATGGCCTAATATTTCCATGTCAATGTTTTAAACAAGTATTATTTTTAATGGAAATATAGTACATGTAGTTTCTATGTATAAGATAAATTTAAACATTAACATTTTGCAATGTAGGTAATAATTCTTAGGGCAAAATGTAGACAGCAATTAAAAAAATGGCTCATTTTATTAATCTCTTCACAATTTAATAACTTCGCAATTAAATCTTTTCACAATTCAATAACTTCGCAATTAAATCTTTTCACAATTCAATAACATATTCTACGCATATAATCTGGATGTAATATTTGGAGTGAAAAACTATTTTATTTAATTTTTTTTGCCCCAAAATTGCAATGATTCACATGATTTCACATATAACGATATTCTAAATAATGTTTTTCTTTAGATATTTGTGATAGCACTAGACTTTTATCACGGTTATTGCTATTAAATGGTAAATTACTTTTTCAGTTTAGTAAGCAATAATTATTTTGGTGAAACTTTAAAATTTTGAAGGCAAATAATCATATTCTTTATTACAATTAAATTTACGTAAGCAAGATAAAATAAAAATTGAAATATCCTACTACTCTCAATAGCATTGCAAAAAGTATCAATATCATTCATGTTATCGTATTCTAAATTATTTTATGTTTTATTTATGATAGTAATAGACTTAGTCATGGTTATTGTTAGCATTATTGCTACTAGTGCAATTTAACGACCAATAAATATTATACTGAAAATTATAATTAATTTAGAATAAAATTTACTTACCAAACATCACTAACAGGTAACAACAGCAGTTACAAAAATTAAGCTTCTAATGCTTAATTGTATTGCGAGGAAACCTCAAGGAAATTCATGTTATAAAATGATATTCTAAATGATAGTTTGCTTTAAATATTTGTGATAGCACTAGACTTGGTCATGGTTATTGCTAATGAATTGTAAATAAAGTTGCGATTTACTACATTGGAAAATTTAAATTATCGAGTTTAATTTAAAAAAAATTACTTAAACAAATCGCTTACGAGTAATCCAACTACTCTTGATAGTCTTGCAAAGAAGCCTTAAACATTTCGATTCTTTTTGTGAGTACTCATGGTTATTGTTAATGAATTGTAAGCAACCATTGCAAATTACTACATTGAAAAATCAAAATTTACACGGCAAATTATCTAGTGGTTAATTTAAAATAAAATTTACTTAAACAAATCACTTGCAAGTAATCCTACTACTCTTGATGGTGTTGCAAAGAATCATTAATAAAACAAGTGTAAATTTCGAATCTTTTTATGAGTACTCATGGTTATTGCTACTGAATTGTAAACGACAATTGCAAATTACTACATTGAAAAATCAAAATTTGCACGGCAAATTATCTAGTGGTTAATTTAAAATAAAATTTATTTAAACAAATCACTTACAAGTAATCCTACTGCTTTTGATAGTGTTGCAAAGAAGCATCAATAAATCGGGTGTAAATTTTGAATATTTTTTTAATGAAATATGTACTTCAATTTCCGACAAAATGATATGACTAAATAATACAAAATCACAGTACTTGTTCGTTAGAATGCTCGACATTCTTACTTTACAAAATTGGCCTCATTATTTCGTCATATTTGTTAATATCGAAACAATGAGATAGACATGCATCAGTGATTCAAAAAATGCCGAAAAGCAGATTCAAAAAAAGAAAAAAAAAAGTCGTCTTCTTCACAAATGGTCTCTGGTAGTCTCACATAGCAGTAGTCTCTGTCTTGTCCCCGGAGGATTGCTTCTGTAGGGATGGAGCATGGGTTCTTTGGCTCACTTGGGCAGGAAAGCAACTTTTCCTTCTTGGACCTCTGGGACCTCTTATATTGGGAAGGGGGGTAACGCCGTCCCCGGTAACCGGGGATACATTAAACCTGGTCATTTCTTGAATGCGAGTCCTGGACGGCCACATGGAATAGGGGTTTTCGGGATTTTGGAGAGGTTTGTTATAGACAAGGCTCTTTCTCGGAATGGGGGTTCTTTTATCTTCGCCTTCGTCTTCAGCCTGTGGTAAAAAGGTTTTTTTTTTTCAAGATTATTCGTTTTCCTCCTAGATGCAAAACGAAAGCCAGTTCAGTACACAGATCCCAGCAAAGCAAAAGCAAACAAAAGCAAATAGGGTTGCAAAAGCAAAGTGTTGTAAGCTGATTGAAGCTGAATAAGAGAATTATGTGCATGATGTGGAAAAAAACCGCAGGACAATTTCAGTTTTTGATATTTTCTTTTAGAGTTTTGATTAGCTTTTAATATGATTTTGAACTTAAGTTTGTTTTCAATTCTGTGTAGAAAACGCTTAAGTGTTATTTCCCCAATGTTTATGCATTTTGTTTTCGATAATGGATCGTTTTTGTTTGATTGGTTTGGATTGTTCCAATTTAGCTGAATTTTAAAGTATTATCAGTTATTTACGGTTATGTCTAATTTTAATAAGGTACCATGGAAAAGTATCGTAATCGATACACATCTTTTTAAATTTAATGTGACTTGTTTTATGTTACAAATGGCAATGTGTCACCCCTATTTTTGTATACGCTTTAAGATTGGTTGAAAATCATCGCAACGTATCGTAAAAATGGCTCTGAATTTTGACAATATTCAAATTGTTTGTACCATCCGTAACTGCTTACTTACATAACTATGAAAAAATATCATAAGTATTTAATACTAATAACATTATTAATTGTTTATCATTTAGTCATGATATTAATTAATTTAAATGAGCTTTAAATTAATTATTTCATTCAGTAGTCATGTCTGGGAACCTGTATCGAACAATAGTTTGTTCATAAATTAATGAATGCTCCCTAATTTTTCTTAAGTTTTTGAAAATTGCAATATTGAAGCAAAAGGAAAAAAAAACTCTCTCCAAAATATTTATTATGAAATACGTAAATGTTACAGATTAACGTTCAAGGTGATATATTTTTTTCCCTGATTCCCAAGCTTTTGAATAAAGGAAATTGGGAAAAGGAAGTTGAATATTTGCTCTCCTAAGCCTCCCTGAAATTAAAAAACATTCCAGAGAGCATTTTTTTAGAAACTAAAAAAAATTATCAAAAGCCGAAAAGGTCCATCAGTTACTTCTTGTCCATTTCCTGTATGACTGAAGCAGCAGAAAAATAGGATATTGCTTTAGAAAGCATAAGAAAACAACAAAATAAATAGCAAATGCAGATATTTTAAAGATGATTCTTCAAAAAAAAATTTTCTTTCCTAGAAACTTTTTTACTTTTGTAAACAGACATTAGATTGAAAAAAAGAGACGCTGAATTTGGCAACATTGATTGCATGAGTGCAATTTCTGCAGAAGCAAAGAAAAAAAAACACTAAGTGCTAAGAGAAAAAGTAACATGCCATTTTACTCAACCTGCAATGACATATAAGATAGCGCTAAGAAAATTGAAAAATCCCAAGCAATATTTTGGCAAAGTAATAAGATATTTTAGCGTTGATGCATTTTATCAATAATTGAGCATGATATATTTTAAGAATTGTTGCAATATGAATGTTTCCTTTTAATTTCAAAATCAAGTATCCTCACCATTAAGTTTCGTCCATCACTTTTACCTTCCACTGGCGACCTGTTTAGTTGATCGAGCATCTTGAGATTGTCTTGATTCAATAACATGTAACCGATTTAGCTCAAATTTCGTAGTTCGTAATATAACTACATACTCAAGATGATTTAAAAATTTATGTACCTTAAAATTAAATTAACCAATTATTAATTAAAATAATAAATAATCATGAAAATTTATTGTTTGCATGGAATTATCTTCGGATTTACGAACTTTATAATTGAGTGCAAAAATTTTTAAATTTAAATTAAAAAGTTCGCTAGATATGGCGAAATAATTAAAACTTTCGAACACTCTCCTGATCAAACTTGCCTGATTGAGGGTCAGGAATTCAAATCTGGCATAATATAGGTATATTTATTCAGATAAAGTGCGATTTTTTGCTTGATTTCGTAACATCAAGGAATTGTCTGCACTTATTAATTAGCATTTTTTAGAACACCCCTTTATACCGTTAAGATAGAGTTCTAGTTCGATGGTAAATCCGATAATAAGTCTTCCGTGCAAAATTTGATCGTAAGGAATTCGTCTATTTTTTGCGCACTGTATAGTGAGAGAATAACAAAAAATGTTATAATATTCAAAAATGCTACAGATAAAATCAGAATCGTTCAAACAAGTATTTAAAAATACTTGGTGAACAAATATGTTCCGAAATTTTCAATGACGCCTAAAACGACAACTCGTCTGTAAATAATGACCTCATAAATGTATGTTTAATTTCAAACCAACCTATCTAATTTTGATTGGATCTTCACTTTCAAGGATTCAATCTCTATGGTTTGTGGGGTTGACCTCAAATATGCTAATTAATTAGTGCAGACGATATTTTAAATTAAGAAATCAGACACAAAAAAAGTACTTTCTCTGAATAAACATTTTTTCTTTCAACGGACTCAGATTTCTGTCCCGCAATATATAGGGGGGAATCGCTATCTGGGAAATATGGTGCCCAAAGGTTACTCAGGAGAGCGAACCAAAGTTTGGATCCTTAAATGCTAATTTTTTATTTTGCGTATTTCGTCACATATCGAGAACTTTTTACGCGAATTGAAAAATTTTTGCTCACAATTGTAAAAGTTGTTTTTCCAAAGAAAAAATTTTAGTAAATGCTTATTATTTTTCCTTATTTTATTCAAAAATAGTCAAAAAAAATTTAAACTGGAAGGTATACAATTTTTTGCATCATTTTAGAAAGATAATTTTTCATGGCAGAATACAAAATTAGAGTGAAATTGATAGAATAGTTTCTGAAAAATCGAATTTTCAAAATACGACTTTTTTGAAATTCGTTTTCTCAGGAAATATTCCACCGATTTCCCTCAAAATTCCTTAAAAATAATGTTGAAAAAAATTATACCTTACAATTCAAAATTATTCGACTAATATTAAATAAAATAATACGAAATCATAAATATTTACTAAAAGTTATTTTTTGCACAATCGTTGGATAAATGGAATATAAGCAAATTTTTTTTCAATTCGGTTAAAAAATTCTCCACATATCGATCTCGAGATATGAAGTACGATATGCTCTATACCACATCTCGAGATATGAAGTACGCAAAACGAAAGTCAACATTGGACCGCTCTCCTGACTAAACTATTGAGACCATCTTTCCCAGATTGCGGCTACCCCCTTTATTTTGGTGACCAGAAATCAGAATCCTTCGAAGAAAAAGGTAAGTCTATTCAGAAAAAGTACGTTTTTGTGTCTGATTTCTTAACTTAAATTATCATCTGCACTAATTAATTAATTAGCATATTTGTGGTGGTCACTTTGAACCAATAAGATTGAGTCATAGAACGTCAAGATCCGAACAGTAGGTGAAAAGTTATTCAAGGTAATCCGTCTTTTATTTTGCACACTGTACATCATAAAAATACTTTTTTGTATACTTAAATTCTGGGTAGTTACTTGAAATAAATAAAAAGAAACATTCAAATTTGTACGAACCCAATAGCAACTTGAAATTTGAGGCATGGATGATACAACAATATTCTGTGTTTTTCTTATAAAAATTTAAAAATGCAGATTGATCTATATATTTAACTATTATTCTATTTGATAGATCTTTATTAATAATAGGGATTAATCTACAAAAATGGCAACTCAAATGTGAAAAAATATATTATTGGAAATATGGTATAGGAAATGCATTAACTTTTCATTTATTAAAAAAAAGCATATTGTTGTTCAATTTTTCTAAAAAATCCCGGGGAAAAATTCGAGGCAATATTTCATTTCAGTGCTTAAAGATGTGGTTAAGATGACTTGAAGCTAAAATCAATGAGTGATAACAAATTCTATTAAGATAAAAACTGAAGGAATTTTTTAAAATCTTAATACTACTGAATCTTTTTTTTAATCTAAACTAAATGAACTAGTAATTCATTTAAAAAATCACAATAACTTTTAATATTCGATTATTAGATTATTTTAATTTTTGAACCTCACGCAAAACTCTTATTTTCTCACATAATTTTCATGGACTGAAATAAATTCTAAACCAGCAAAACTACTATTTTGCACTTATACAATATATATTTTATTTGATGAAACTACATCTCAAAACTTTGATCAACTATACTTTTAAATGCAGCTGAACAACATCGTTTCACCTTTTTTTTAAGAAAAAGTATCTAGATTTTATTTCGAAACATATTCGTTCTGTGTGTAAGTCGACCCCCTATTTTTGATTACAAAGACAAATTTTTAGCATGTGGAGTGAATGAACTGACCGCTGGGAAAACCATTCATAGAAATTTCTAAAATTTAGAAACATAAAAAAATTTGCAAGTCTACAAAATTTTCTGAAATATTTCTAATTGTTCTCTCTGGATATAGTACATTTGCTTTCAAACAAATATGCATTAACAAATTCTGTGAGGTGTGTGATAATACTGATAAGGTTATTGGATCTGACACAAATGATCTTCTGTTATCTAAATTTGTAGCTTTAAGGTATGTTATTAATATTTTCATAGCGTTATCCCTTTTCAAATGCGATTGACTATATTATCTTAAATTCCACAATATTTTCTTCTGAACATAATATAAAGTATCGTTTCCTTTTTTTAAAAAATGCAAGGGTAATAAAGGTATAAAGGAAAAAAAACAAACAAAGGTATCTTGCGTAACTAGTCGTTTGTTTTTGGAGCGTTCTTTTAGGAAGTGCCTTAAAAAAAATTCATCAGAACGTCAAGGAACACCCGGGTCTGTTGAGCTTCTAAAGAAGCGGAGAAACGATGTGCAATTTGAAATTAAGAGGGATGTTTACTAACTAATAAAATATTAAGTTAGTGACACTGAAAATCATGTAAATTTTTTACAAAATAACAAATGATGTTCGTATTAAGAAACTAAGCTTGCAACTTTAAATTCATTAAACTGGGAACACATTTCAAGTGATAAATCTCAGGTATTACTATACTAAAGTAAGTATACAACCATGAAGAAAAACTACAACAATTACCATTAAAAAAATGGAAGAACGCTAAGAGCGTTCTTCCAAAGGCGTTTTTTGAATACTGAGTTGCCGTTTTTGTGAGATGGTCTACATTACAGAAGCTTTTACCACTGCATCCATTAGACTTGGTAATCTGCTCTGTCTTCGTTTCTTCATCTGGCTAGCCCTCATGCCACCGGGTGCTAAACTAGCTCTTCTAAGTGGACCTGCTGCGTCACCTAACGTCATTCCTGGAGCAATACTCAGTCTTCTAGTTACACTCTATACCAAAGAAACGTTTTAGATTAAAAACAACATCAATAAGTAGAGTATGAAAATGAAAGTAAAGCCTTTCCCCAACAGCCCATTGTGGGCCAGGTGGGTCATGGAGGCGAAGACTCCACACTTTGGCATGATTATGACAGTTTTTTTTTTTTAATATTTATTTCCAGCATGCTCCATAACAAGAGTTACAATACATCCATTGAAGAATAAGAATAACAAATTTAGATCAAAAATACACCGATCAAAAATACAATACATAATGAAACACAAATATAAAATATAAAAGCAGACAAGTAAAATCAAAAAGAAAGAAAAGGAATATTATGAACAAACTTTGTGGCAGTGTAGTCATCAATGGACACAGTCCTCCTTTACTTCCCAGACCAGCTGGAACTCATCGATATGAAGCTGGGTGGGTTTCAAGCCTCCACTGGGGATCGAACCCCAGTTCTTCATATAAATTTAAATTAAATAATTAAAAAAGAAGATTATCTACTTACATCAGCAGCAGGTGCTGGAACATTCATAGATATAGATCGGAATACTTCATCATCTGCCGCATCCTGAAACAGTGCAGTTCAAATTATGTAATTGCACCAATTTGGAATAATTTTCTTCGTTTATTTTTCATATAATTATGAAAATATTATTTTGCAATTCATGTAAAAAAAGTGTACATTCTGAACAACTTTTGATCAAATTTAGGAATTTAGACGTACTAAGAGTCAATATTAATGGTAAGGGGATCTAATCTTATCTATGCTAATTATTTAGAATAGACGGCATTTCAAGTTAAGAAATCAAATACAAAAACGAATTTTCTTTGAATAAAAATACCATTTTTTTCGACAGATTTGAACGAAGTTATCAAATTTTTAAGTTGTTTACTTGAAATTTTATGTTTTAGAAACTAGTTTACCCATTTCATTCAAATTTCGAATATTTTCATGTAAAGTTATATACTTTAAAATGATGGAGAAATTTGAGGCTAGTTATTGTTCAATTTTTTTTACAATTACTACCTAAAATAATAAAACATAATAAATAATTATTAAATTTTTTTTACGGGGAACTATCTTAGGATAAACGAATTTTATAACTATGCAATCTATTCGTTTAAAAAGTTCTCCGGTTATAAAGAAGTATGCAAAATGTGAAATTATCATTAAAGGGTCCCGACTTCTGACTTCTTTGACTATCGGGACCATATTTTTCGGATTTTGATAACTCCTATATTTTGAGGGTCAAAAACCCAAATCCGTCTCAAAATTTTTTTTTTATTCCGTAATTTAAAATGTCGTCTTCATTAATTAATAAACAAATTTAAAGTCGGGCACACGAATCTGATCATTAAGATTGAGTAAATGAAAACCCGATCTTTCAGATCCTCAGAACGTTCAATTTTTTACTCTTATGGTGTATTTCAATAATGGGAAAAATAAATATTAATACATAATGTGAGTTTGTTTAGTTACTTGGCTCTCAAAGTAAAAAAAAAAATTGTTTTTGAAATGAGGAAATATCGAGAAATTAATTGGTGATCGCATTTATTAAAGGTTTTTAAAACATAAAAAAATCGTTGTTAAAATGTTTAAAAGTAACTTACCTCAACAATATCCATCAACGTTTGTAGTTTTGTAAGGCGACTTTCTTCTGAATCATCATTCAATGTGTTTGGATCAATTCCATTCAAATTCTAAACCGATGAAAAAGCATACATAAAATTAGTTCATTAGTAAAAAAAAACTGAATTATACTATTAAATTATGAAATTAAAGTAAAAAAAGTAAATTAAAAAACTAAATTATAATTTTAAATTATAAAATTGAAATTTTATTTTAAATCATAAAATTAAGTCATAATTATAAAAGTAGGAATTATAAAATATGAATAAATTATAATTCTAAATTAAAAAATTACATTAGAATTTTAAAATATAAAATAAGGTTATAATTACAAAAATTTCAATTATAAAATTAAATTATAATTTTAAAATATAAAATTAAGTTATAGTTACAAAAGGTTCAATTATAAAATTAAATTATAATTTTAAAATATAAAATTAAATTATAAAAGTTTCATTTATAAAATTAAATTATAATGTTAAATTACAAAAGTAAATTGCAATTAGAATTACAAATAAGTATTAAAAAAAATTCTGAATTAACTTATAACATTTAATTTTAAAAATTTAATTACAAATAATAATAATTTTTTATAAAACAAACATAACATTAATAAAATAACAATTTTAATAAAATTCTAAATAAAATTATAAAATAAATTATAATTAATATATATAAATTTTGAAAAAAAATTAGTTTATTAACCATAAAATGAACAATCAAATCACTATTCACAAATTAAGCAATAATTTTAACCTAGAATGATATAAAATGCTTTTAAATTATTTTTTTTAAATTTTGAGTGCATTCAAGAATTAATTTAATTTTTTTATCAGTTTTGAAGAGCTTTTATTTTTTATATCAGAAATAAAATAAAAAATATATAAAATAAAAAATATATAAAATAAATAGTATATAAAGTAAAGAATATATGAAATAAATAGTATATAAAATAAATAATACATAAAACAAATAATATTTAAATAAATAATTTGTAAAATAAATAATATGTAAAATAAATAATATATAAAATAAGTAATACATAAAATAATTCATACATAAAATAAATAAGATGTAGAATAAATAATATATTTTTCTACTTATTCATTTTAGAGCTGAATTAAATGACAGAAGTAACATTAATATTCGCCTTTTTTCTTAAATTATGGTCTATAAGTATTCGTATTATTGCTTGATCCTGTAATATGAACATATAAATTTTTGACAAAATAATTTAAATTTTTTTACTCACCGCCCATTCTTGCAAAAATTGTTTCCCAAGATCTTCACCTTCATTTTCACCTAAAGTTTTATTGTAATCTCTGGCAACCTAAAACAGGTTTAAAATACAAATATCAAATATACGACAAGGAAATTAATAAATTTAACTATAATTTTAAAAACCAATATTGCCGATAAATAAATAACATACGAGCGGGATAATTACGAAAAAATGGTTTTATTACCAGAATTATGTTTTTTCTTCTTCCAGAAATGTCTTTACGATAGTTTTACCAGGATTTTTTTCTCTTCGTGCATAAAAAATAAATTTGGTTCAAATTTTGTTGCAACCTAAATTAATGTTACTAAATGTGAACCACGTATCAACTGATGTTAAGTTAATATAAAAGTGAAATGTCTTTTCAGAAGTACTATAATGTGGTTTCTTAAAATCATATTAAAAGCTGCAGCAAATTAAAACTATATATATATATATA